GGGAGCAAGACTGGCCATCATGTGACGACGACTACGGCAAAAATGCAAAATGATTTGAAATTATGCAGAATTGAGCGTCAGAATAAAGAAATGAAGTTGCGTACCCATTTTTCCCTATATTCATCAAGGCTCAGGCTGCCTTGATGGTGTGATGCACCTGGCATCTGCAAACGCCGCTCCCGGCAAGCAAGGTGGTGCTCCAACCACCCGAGCTACAACCACTCATCCACCATCTTTTCCCAGCACCGGATATGCGCTCGGCACCACCACGGAGGCACCTACATCATCAAGCATGTGACTTATGAAAAAAGAAAATAAGCGTAATTAATCTCAAATAAAGTAAGTATCAACGTTATTTGCTTACACTCATGAATTGGTCCTTGGTCAGGTTCATTGTCCTTGCCTCCTCTTTTTTAACCTTCATGCTTCTGTATTGAGCGTAGAACTCGATGATGGCCGGGACGCGCGCCTCGTAGTGCATGTCCTTCACGAGCTTCTTGGCAGCTTGTTCAGAGACGGACTTCGCCTTGGCCTCGAATCCCTCCTGGCATCCGTAGAAGTCCTGCATATAGAGGCGATGTATAAAGTTATTATTTCAAGAATGTCCAGTGAATGTGATGTATTGAGCAATGTAGTGCGAGGAATACTTACCCACAGCTCGCTCTTCACCCGCTCCGCTATGTTGGTGAATCTCCTGCGATCATGATCAGGGACGTCAGGGGCGGCGATGTAGTGGTCCCACGTGTAGGCCGGCTGCTACTGTCCGGCGTACGCCACCAAGCCAAGGAAGTGTTCCTTGCACAAAAGGCCAAGGATGCCGTTGACCTTGCGGTTGTGATCACCCCCACTGAGCTTAATCCAACTCCTGCACAAGTGATTAATATAAATTATTAGTTTCTTTTGTAATTTTCAACATATCAAAATTATTGCGAATATTTAAAGTTACTTACCTGGTCCCTGTCGGTTTAATCAGCGGACACGATGGCCGACAACCACATATAGCTCACAAGAAAGCAAATAATTCATGGTTTATCCTTTTCTAATTTCTAAAAAAAAGTCATATCACCTCTATAGACATCCTACTACATCTCAATCTTCTCTAACAAAAGTCCATTTCTATCACTTTCTAATTTCTTTTCTAATTTCTAATTCATCCTACCTTTTTATAATTTCTAAAAGCGACACTGATAGTGGCCATACTAGGCTATTTTCGAAAGATGTTTCAGGTTTAACCTACAACATTTTAGTGCTCCAACCTACGAAACAGCAAAAGGGCCTAAACAACAATCCTAGACATACAAGACTGCAGTATAACGATATTTCAGGTTTTCCCCACATAATATTGCACAAACCAAATTGCAGGAAAGGTTTAAGGGAAGTGTGTGGAAGTGTATGTGGTAGGCCACATCTTTAAACCGAGCACTAATGGAATTAGGGGATAAGGCAACAAGTGCGATAAGAAAAATGCAGGCGTTCTATTCACTTGCGCGTCCAGCCAGACTGACAGCAAGCGTCAGAAATTCATGTATTGAAAATCAAGAACCAATCCTGCAGCTAGTGGGGCTCGATGGGTCAGATAACCCATCCCGACAAGGAATTACGGGAATTTCTGGTTGGATTGCTCGAATCTACCGAAAATTCAAGGGCGGAACCGCAGAAGCCTTAGTAGAACAGGGAATACAATTTCAATCCAAGCAAGCAACGTTAGGGCTTCCTTACCAGCAACGACGAGAAGGTGAGGACAAATTCGACTCAATTCCGTTCCGATTCCCGCTCCGCTCAACACCAACCCAGCACCAGCTTGGCGGCTGCGATCGAAGAACAATCCTCGCCGATTGGGCGGCGCTGGGATTCGGTGGGCGGGGAGCGCGGTTGTTGAGGGGCGGTGGGGAAGGATGGAGGCGGGGGGGTGCGGGAGAAGAAGAGGCAAGAACCGCCCGGCCGGTTGGTGGCCTCGCCGCCTCGGGCCACCGGTGGTGGGGGTGGCGCCGCCTGGGTGGAGCCGCCATGGGCGTGGTGCGCCGGGGCCGGGAGGGCGACGCAAAGGGAGGAGGGAGGCGGGACGCCGGCGGGGGAGGCGGCGGGGCGCCGGTGGGGACGGGTCGGTGGTCGTGGCGTGTGTCTGTGGCGTGTGCAAAAGTGTGTGTGTGTGTGTGTGTGGCGTCGGGTCGCTACTGGTTAACTGTTAGGGGTATCTTTGAGTGCCCGCGATCCGCACTCGGCATACCCCTTTTTTTTTTTTTTTTTTATTTTTTCAAAGGTCTCTCTACTCGCAAGCGGTGGGCAAGACTCAGATTTTTGTCGAGTGTTTTGTAGAAGACACTCGGCAAAGAGCTACTTTACCGAGTGTTATATAGAAACACTCGGCAAATTACGCTAATATTTCATGTATACCTTTAATAGCTGGTTTTAGTAACTTTTTTCCTATATATTTTGAAAAAAAAACTTGTCAAATTCACTCAAAAATGCATATTTGTTTTTTCTACTAATATTATTTCATTATTTCATGCAGTTATAGCTCAAAATTAATTTATATCAACTAAAATTCTATAATTGCAATTAATAAATAAAAATATCAAACGGATCCGAAAAATTGTCAAAATTTGACATCAACCAATCTATGTTGTGTATTGCCTATACAAAAAAATTTGAACTCAAACCCCAATTCACATGTCACTTGGACTCTAAATCTTACCGGATCCTTCTCGGTTCTACGAATTTTCCACGGAGATGCTTCCGTTTTGTAAGCATCATACGTCACAAATTGTGCGAAACATTCTCAATTTTGTACCACAGCCTCCCCATATGATATCATGACATCTTGACAAATCTCGTGATTTTCAAACTTCTTTGGTTTTTGTAGAATTTAAAAATCATTCGGACACACGTTCGTGGTCGTGTTTCCTGAACAAAATGTTCGAAATTTCTTTTCATTTCCTGCATGAGACATCAATTCGGACTCAATGACATGAATATGATTTTTCCACTCATATTATTCTATTATTTCAATCACTTGCGGTTCAAATTTCACTTAAATCAATAAATTACTCAAAATGAAATTAATTCACTAAATATAGCAAACAGACCAAGAAATAGACCAACTTTTAACATGCAGTACCAAATGTCGTATGTGGGGAGTAGAAAAATTGTGGAGGGACGAGGAGGAAAAAATAGTTTTGGATTTGCCGAGTGTCTCCATAAACACTCGGCAAACCCATATACTTCGCCGAGTGCCGGCAGAAAACACTCGGCAAATACGTACTTCACCGAGTGCCTCTAACGGACACTCGGTGAAGTCCTAACGGCCGGCACGCCGTCCGGTAGGATGGCGCACGCGCGGGTCACGTGTTGGTTATTGCCGAATGTCCCATAGAGGCCGAGTATTGACACTCGGTAAATATTAAATATGCCGAGTGTCTGATGGTTGCCGAGTGTTGACACTCGGCAAATCATAAATATGCTGAGTGTAATAGTATGCCGAGTGTCTCGGAGGAAACACTCGGCAAAGCTGTCATTTACCGAGTGCCCGATATAATGCACTCGACAAACATAAAGCACTCGGCATTTTCACTGTTTCCCGTAGTGACTCTAGAACCTAGAGGCCTAGAGGCAAAGCAAGGCAGGGAGATGCATTATTATTGCACTTTGCAAGCTGAAAGAAAGCGACTTGAATCGGTAGTAGTAGATGACATGACTCTGGCAGTCTCAATGGGGTGGCTCACACGGGTGGAACCTGTCGGCCCTCCGCCGGCCGATAAGTCGGATTTGTTTTAAATAATAATTTTTTAATAATTAATTGCAAATGTAGCAGTATATACAGTAGCCGATAAGAAGCCGGAGGGGTTGGCTCGTACGGCAAGGACCTGCGGCCCTCCGCTGGCCGATAAGTGGGAATTTTTTTTAAATAATATTTTTTTAATAATTAATTGCAGATGTAGCAGTATATACAGTAGCGAAGCCGGAGGGGTTGGCTCGTACGGCGAGGTCCTGTCGGCCCTCCGCTGGCCGATAGGACAGTCGCCGTGCTCACGGCCGTTTGCCTCTTCCTTGCTGATCCGGCACTAGGCTGCGCTGCGGCCGTTCGTCGGGCAGGTTCAGGTCTTGCTCACCCTCTACGCGTTGGCGACAGAGTGCTCTCACACGGCGGTGGTGTTTTGTGCGGCGGCATGGCATGCTTATGCGGCAATGCGGCATTTGCGGTGGTGCGGGTTGGAGCGGCGCCGCGGGCTTACGCGGATCATGCAGCCGCATAGACCCGTTGTGGGAATGCGGGCTGGCCAACGGGATTACACGGGCTTGCCCAACGGGAAGCGAGTCGGTTAATGTCAAAAAACAGGAAGCGAGTTGGGATCGAATTCCTCACCAGCTTGGAATCGATGACCCGTTTGACTTTTCCCTTCCTCCTCCCTGTATAAAAATAGCAGGAGGACCGCCCGTCCGCCCTGCTGGGACGCTCCTCGCCGTAGACGACACCAATCGAAGCCGTCGACCACGACGACGACGCAGGCACGCTTCCCTTCCGGTGCCTATTTACTGATGCTCTAGAGGCCCTGGTCGCCTCTGCGACGCATCGTGCCTGAGACACCAATGCCCCTGATCGAGTCCGAGTGACCAGCAGCACACGGATCCCCTCCCCTCCAACGACGGCCCTGCGGTGTCCACCTTATTGCCTGCGTCTTCATCTCACATAAGGTACGCGCTTCTCCGAGCTTGTGACTTTCTGCAACTGTGGTTTGTGTGTGTTCCATAATTCCAATGGCCTGCCTGATAACATGTAAGCGTCAATTAGATATAGATATATAATGATTGTGAATCCCGGAGGAATAATCATTGTATGGCTTGTGACCGTCCGGCTGCCGCTTTGTGACCGTTGTTGCGCTTAGTATGGCTTTGTGAGGACTTGTATGGCTTGAGCACCACTAACCGCAACAATCCCAGATTCGCAGGTGATCTCCAACTAACCGTACTGTTTTCGCAGGAGGTCTCCGGGCGTATCACCGATGTCATCAGGTTCCAACGACGCAGACACCGCTCCATGGGCCGACTTCCTGCCGGAGCTATGCGTTCTCGTCTTGGACCACCTAGACGTTATCGGCATCATCCGCTTCCCGGCGGTTTGCTCGGACTGGGCCACCGCTTCCAAGAACACTCACTGCCCTCGCCTGCTGTCAGGCACGCCGACGCTGCTCACGTCTAGCTTGGACCCTGAAGGCTACGACATTGAGTACGACGTGGAGCCAGGCGCCTTCGGGCTCCATGACGTCACCACCGGCAAGTCCTGCTACGGCGAGGCCGAGGGGCTGAAGAAGCGGACCTGGATCGGCGGCAAGAACGACTGGCTGGTGACTACGGACTTGAGGTGCAGCGTCGAGCTCCTGAACCCCATCACGGGCGTCCGCGTCCCGTTGCCGTCCTTCGCAACCATCCCAGGCGTCGAGGTGGTGGAGGTCCGCGATCGTGGCCCCGGTGTCTCCTTCGAGAAATCGCCGCACCATTTCCAGAAGGTCACGCCCAGGTTTCGGATGCCGGCGCACCGTCTCCAGAAGGTCATGCTGTGTCGGACGCCGGCACACCCGAGCGGCTACCTGGCCGTCGCTCTCTTCTCCTCGGGTGACAGCACGGGTTTGGTTGCTTTCACCGCAGCCGACGATAAGCGGTGGACGCTGTTGAAGAACCCTGAGGGATTACACTATCTCGGTAAGTACACGGACGTCACTGTCCACAAGGGCAAGGTGCTCGCCGTGGCCACATCTGGAAACATCTGCTCCTGGGACATGGACGTTGGCACAACCACAGAGCCCACGATTTTGCCACCACTGGACATCGACATCGACTACTGGGTCAAGCGCGTATTCTACCTGGCCACGTCGAGCGGCGGCGACCTTCAGCTGGTCTGCATGTTCGGCGACAACGAGGACATCAAAGACACGCGCTGGTGGAGGATAGTGTTTGATTTCCAGTGGAGCTTCTGGCCACGCAGCGTTTTGCTCCACGAGCTCGACGCCGTCACCGACACGTGGCGACGCGTTGGGGACCTCGGCGGTGGTCGCGCCCTCTTCGTGGGGGCCAACTACCCTTTCTACGTCGACGTGCCTCGCGATGGCTCCACAGATCCTCTTCTCCAGGCAGATTGTGTCTATGTCACGGACTTGATCAACTGTGACGCTGGCATCTTTGATCTGAAGCTAGGAGATGACTTCAAATTCAACTTGGATGCTCGCTTCTGTTATCCGGCACTGAGTGATCCGTTGCAGATGCCGATGTGGTTTCGGCCAACTGCGGCGTTACCCAAGAGCACAAGTGCCCGTAGTATAGAAGAGCAACAGACATTACTATTGTAGTTGAAATAAATGGCATTCGCAATGCAAGAAACTTTGAATCTTTAGTTATGTAACAATAACAATATTGATCTTTTGCTAATGGATTGATATGTATAAGTAGTACATTTGTCTCCAAATAACCTTTATATTATTTAATCTTTTTCGCGATTGGAACAAACGTGTGTAAAGTAAACATTCAGAAGCAATTTTCGAGCTTCATGTTTGAAATCTTTTTGGCAAAACGCCTAGTTGGAAGGACAAGTGTCTTCTCTTTTTGGCAAAACGCCTAGTTGGAAGGACAAGTTCCTGTATATCAGAACAACACCTATATGCACATGCAAACATTTGAGTAATTGACTACATAGAACTTCACTTATCCAAAAGTAATTCCAACTTCATGTATGCAACCAGCCACTGTTATACTTTGATTGGGGATAGAGACAAGTGTCAATTAAAACAAAATACACGAGGCATTCTATGTTATGATATTTCTCAACCAGAAAAAAAAAAAGGTAGGATGCCTCAAGTACACAGCTAGAATAGACTCTGTATAGCACCAGAACATGCCCGGAAAAAACCATCAATTGCTAGTCTTGTTTAATGTCCCCAAAGAAAAGGTTGCCCCAGGGCGAGTTTCCGACACCGTTGGTTGTGATGTTAGTATGTACAGTACCCATAAGTGAAGGCATACTAGATACACCAAGGCCCAAACCTGGGCCTTTGGATTCCGCCTCAAAAAGATATGCCCGGCTGAGAAGATCGAATCAAGCTGTCGGATTGCAGATCCCAGTTGCTGTTGTCCAGCCCTTATCCTGTCACCAAGCTTTGGTGAATGTGATTGTTGCCATGCACCAGCCTCAATGTCCAATCTTGATGAGCTTGACGAAGCTAATGATGAGGCACTGTTGTCGAGCAACCTCGTGACTGCCTGTAGATGATGGACAATGTTATTCTCGTCGCATGCACATTTGCTTGGGTATTTTACTAGGTCCGGTCAGAATATTTTATAAAAATGACTAAAATACAGTGGGTCTACATATACATACCTCGATTCTCATTAACAGAGCTGCCTTCTCTGAAGATAGGGACTCAACCTAAAAAGAGAAACATTTGATTTTGAGCCTTTGAATGATAGCCCTGTACCAGTGTAGCCAATAGATACCAAGAGCCAGTATCACTATGCGAATAATAGCATTTATCCTCAGACGGGTAACCATATTTTTTGCGTTAGGTCAATATTTATTATTCATATCGAGGTGTTTTCTTTCCAAATCTTGATGATTTTCTAAGTTCCCTAACTCCATTTATAGTACCAATGAAAATAGGGAAGGGTTCTCAATACAATGACCTAATCATGTTTTTTTCTACCGTAAAACCCATGCTGATCCAAAGAAACAGGTAACAAAATCGCAAGATATGCTGTAAAACAGAAAACAAACAGGATGTGATATGATGAAAGAGCCCACATAAGGAATGAACCTGCATTTGTTTCTGAATCAACCGATCAGTTAGTTGATCAAGCCTCTTCTTGAGCTCAGTTTCCACCTCTGTAGGATGAACCATGTCTCTTCTAGTCAGCTCAATGCTTTCTTCAATCTTCCTTGCCTATTTGAGAAAAAAACATGGACCAAATTGAGACAATTGGTTAACATAACTATTAGCTGCACACAGAATATAAAATACTCAAATCACTAGCACAAATGACACTCAGCCTAACAGCACCAGAACCTGAGTATGAAATATTCAAGAAATTACAACACATGCAGAATTAGTTTTCTTTAGTATGACTTTAGTTGGATGCCTTTAGTTCCTTGCTTCCAGGTTTTACTGTATTAGGCGACAATAAAACAAGGGCACAAGGGTATTCCAAACCAAGTCAAATGGGGCAAAAAGTTTAAAACAGTGAGACAACTGAGCCTCACTTTAATGTTATACCACAGTACAATGACCAAAACACTATGATATATGGGAGATCAATAAGCCAGAGTAATACTAATAAGATCCAAATGAGCTTATAGTTATTAAAGGAATTCCTGAATCAAGACTATAATTTGTAAATAAGAATTAATTATTACAGGCGGTCAGTCATACACAGGAGAACCTACCTTGTCCTTCAAGCTCACAATTCTGTCACATATCAGAGCGTATTCTGCATCAATAATTTCTTCCTGCAGCTTGAACCTTCTCAAAGATTCTATCTAGACAAAAGTTAACTCATATTACAATTAGATAAGGTAAAGACATATTTTCTAGGAGTCAATAGTTCTACTCAAAAAGGCTCAATGAAATATTATATCAGTTGTGTGGAATGAAAAGCAACTGGCAAATGTAAGTTGATTGCTTACTTCATCAACCGGAGGGCACTTGTCTTTGTATCTTTGCTAGCTTTCTTTTGTATTCTTGTTCATGGAATGATAGCAAAGGTCACATACCAAAAAAACAGTGCTATTAGTCGAGATAAAAAGAATGGCATGTCATACTTAAATCAGTTCAAGAAGGAAACAAAATAAGTCATTAATATACCATTGGCCTAAGAATGAAATAAGATTGCTTAAAAAACACAGTAAACTCTAAAGCCAGGGAGCCCCAAAAAAAAGGCCATTGTCAACTTACTATCCTGAGCAAGTTTCTTCAATTCAACTTCCTCTCGAAGCTGCGCCACTTGATCAACCTATTCAAGTATAAAGAATAACAAGCTTTCAGTTTAATGATAGAGCATTGTATAATTTGTGAAACACCTATGAAGTATGAATCGCATTCAACTCATCGCTAGCAGTTGTTATGTTAAAATATCGGGCTCCAGCAATAGGAAGGCAACAAAATATAGTTAATTACATTTGTGTACGAAACTTGGAAGGTCCCAGGTTCGAGTCGCGGTCTCCTCCCATTGCACAGGCGAGGGTAAGGCTTGCCACTGACACCCTTCCCCAGACCCCGCACAGAGTGGGAGCTCTCTGCACTGGGTACATTTGTGTACGAAACTCCAGGGCATGATCACTCTAGACTAACCCATTATTTCAATGCCAGAATGTATCAACTTTGTCTAGTCATAACATTTTGGACCACATGTTAAGGTGCAGGCTCTCGAAAATGCCAGAGTTCTCCAAACTTGAAGGGAAGAATAAAATTCCTATGTTCAACTATCTATGCATAGTCACATCTATAGTTTGCCTCTACATCTGCTGTTGACTCAGAGCAGGGCAGTCTGTAGATTCTCCATTGTTTCTTACCTTAAGCCTAAAAACACAATACACAAAGAGGGAGGAAAAAGAAAACATACTTGAACTTCCAGATTCCATTGTTCCCTGGCAAGTGACTTTGCAAGTTCACCGTTTGTAACCTGCGAAAATCTTCTTTAAGAGCATTGCTAAGACTTGTGAAGGTTGGGTGGGGGTCATTTGTAGACAGGTATATACCTCAAGTCTAGCCAATCGTGCAAGGGCTTCCATTCTAGTGCTATGATGTCTCTGTTTCTCTATCTCCACTGCTTCCATTGTTTCGATCATACTAATCTGCAACTCTGAAGCCTGAAACATGTTGAACAAAAAGCTAATAAGGAATCACCACTTTCTAGAAACCATCTCAACAGGATAACTTATGTATAGAAATGTTTTTGCATGTGAATACTTGACTCTGCCTTATAGGTACTTGGGATCAACTTACAGTTCCATAACCAGTGAAATATGTGCAAGATTTTGTGCTCTAATGCAGTATTGCACCAAAGAAAAAAAAATCCAATCTAAACAGAATATATTTTGCAGATTAACAAACAAAAAACATACTCCCAACATCACAAATTATTGGCCGTTTTGGCTTTTATAGGTACCTATGCACCTAGATGGACATATAAGCTAAAAACTTTGTAGACCTATAATTTGGAATGGAGGGAGTACAATGTGGTACAAACTGAATGGTGATGCAAATCACAAAAAATAGCTAAAATCATGCATGCTATAAGAGCAGTTTTTCTTGCTCTGTTCAGAGCGGTATATATTAATGTCATCACATTAAGCAACCTCTCAAGTCTGAAGCAACACAGAATAGCCATGAAGCAGCCTCACCTCCTGCGCCTGTTCCTTCTCACACTCAGCGAGCAGCTTCTCAAGCCCGGCCTTCTCCCCCTCGAGCCTCGCAACAACCTCTTCGCGCTCAGCAATAGCGCGTGCAGCCATGGCCGCAAGCCGCTCAGCCCGCCGCCGTCTCCTCTCCTCCTCCCTCCGCCTCTCCTCCTCGGAATCCTCCGAGTCGTCGCTCCCTGATCCATCTGAGTCCTCATCGCTCCCGCTCTCGGAAGCGACACCCTTACCGTCCTCGCGATCCCCACGATCTGCTTCTGGCTTCACCTCGGACACCACCTCCACCGTTGGCTCACCACCGGCCTGATCCTGCACCGCGAGCACCGCAGCCGCGGACGCGGAGCGGCGGGGCCCTGGTGAAGGCAGGGAGGGGCGCTTCGCTGCGAGACGGAGGCCGAGGGAGGGGGGCGGGCCGGACGGCGGCGGCCTGCGCGGGGGCGGCACGTCGAGGAGGTCATCGGCGGAGCGAGATGTTGTGGCGTGCAGCGCGGCGAGGTCGGAAGCGGAGGGGGACTTGCCGAGGGATTCCGCCGCCTGCTGATCGATCTGAAACGCAAGAGAAGTGAAGAGTCAGAAGAGCTGGAGTGAGGAGAAGACTCAGGAGGGGATGGGGCGACGTCGCGGCGAGGGACGAAGAGAGCGCTGGCTTGCCTGGTGGAGCAGGGTCTCGGCTGCTTTGAGCTTGGAGGAGATCCACCCCGCCATGGCGCGGCGAACGGAGGCGCCGCGGGCGTGGGGATTGGAGTGACGCCGCGCGGCTGGTTGGTCGATGACTGACGTAATGGGCCCGCCCAACCGCCGCTGCCCGCGTAGGGACGCCGCTGGTGGCGACTGGCAAACTTTCCGGCAAACTATGGCCTCGTTTAGATTGCAAGTTTTTTCATTTTCTCTATAACATTAAATCTTTGACATATATATGGAGTATTAAATATAGATAAAAAAATAACTAATTATACAGTTTGATTGTAAATTACGAGACGAATCTTTTAAGCTTAGTTAGGCCATGATTAGACAATAATTATCAAATACAAACGAAAATATTACAGTGTCAAATACTGATTCCTAATCCCAATATAAACCAGACCTATACCTGAAAATGGGCCTGAACAAACTGGGCTGAAGGCCTTGAAACTGAAATTTGTCCGGTAGTGGTAGCGAGATCAGTAGTACGTTCTCCCTCGGTCCGCAAAAGAAATTCTCGTTTCTCCGTAAATCAATCTGTTTGTACGGATCAAAATTATATTAAAAAATATTAATATTGATGATACAAAATTAATATCATTAGATTAGTTATAAAATATATTTTTATAATAAATTTATTTAGAGACATAACTGCTAATAATATTTACTAGAAACTTGATCAAACTTGAACAAATTTGATCGGCACGGATCCCATAATTGTATTTTTTTTAGACTAAGGGAGTATCAAGTTCCACTTCAAAAAAAACCTTGCTCAAGAACGTCCCGTCCCAAGGGATATTGGGTTGCGGCCAATTGCATCAAAGCTATCAAACCACTCAGGCGTGTTAGTGAATTAATAGATGGAATAAATATGCAATGGAGGTTTAACGTGATTCAAAAGTACTTCTACAATATGGATGCTCAGGTAATAAAAAATATTCCTTCGAGTTCATGTGGGAAAGATGATTTCTGGGCATGGCACTATGATGTGGTATATTCTCGTTTAAATCTGCTTACAGAATGCTTGTTCATAGTAGGAATCAAATACAAGATTGGCTCGATGGCAAGGTAGAGAGCTCGAACACTGAAGGAGCTAAAAGGAGATGGAAATTATTCTGGAAGGTCAAGGTACCGTCTGTCGTGGGGTCGAAACCGCGGCAAGCATGTTGTTTGAGTCGGTATCAGAGTACGGGTCTCCGGTGGCTCGGGTGGACTCAGAAACACAAAAATCACGCAGGGGAGACGCAACAGTTTATCCTGGTTCAGGCCAATTCGGTCACTACGTCCAGCAACTGATGATCCTTATACTCAAGAGCACCCAAAATCGGGGGGTTACAACTGAGTGTAAAGGAAGAAGATTTGGTAGGGGGTTAGCTCGGTGCTAATTCTAAGGTTGCCTCTCCGCCGGTGGAGCCTTCCACCTCGTCGGAGAGGAGGAAGACGACGGGATGCGGTGGAGGAGAGGCTCTCGGTGCCTCTCTCCGGGTTGCCTTGCCCTCTGTGTAAGGCAGAGGCGGATGGAATGAAGTGTCTGATGATCAAAATGGGATCCTCTCCTCTCTAGGTCCGACCTTATCCCTTGTATAACGAGATAGATCGGGTACATAGTGGTTTGGGGGTTTAGTCTATGGTCTACGTGCGTTGGAGTTCAGGAGGGTCTTGCAGCGGTGCACCATGAACCGTGGCGGTGTCTTGGAGCCGAAGAAGCCTTAGGCGTCGTCCGACTGCTCTGTTCTGACACTCTGCGTATCAGATGGTGTCAGCTTGGATCAGCCTCCCCCGGGTGAGACCTTCTGGAGTCTTCTTGGTGGCGAAGAGGTCGGCTCCAGGGGCTGACGCGCGGGCCTGGAAGCCCTCGAGCCCCCAGAGGCCATGGGAAGCTTTGTCTTCTTGTGTCACGCCTCGGTCGTGACCCTATCGGAGGAGCAGTTGGCAGGGCCACGCCTAGGGAGCGGCTGAAAGGTCATAATGGCTAGAGGAAGTGAATAGCCTATAAAAATTTCTACAACAACACTTAGCAAACCGGTTAGACAAATATGAGGAGAAGCGAGTGTTGCGCTAGCCTACTAAAAATGCAAGGCACCTACCACAATTCTAGTTTATATAGTCTCTATCCACACAATGGTTATGTCACTACACTAAGTTAGTGTGCTCTCAAAGGCTAACTAAAGAGCCACACTAACCAAACTAACAAGCTCTCACGACTAGCTACACTAAAGAGCTTGACAACTAGTTTGCGGTAATGTAAAGAGAGAGAGCAAGATGGTTATACCGCCAAGTCGAGGAATGAACCAATCAATCACAAGAATGAATACCAATGAAGATCAATCACCTCGAAATCTAATGATAACACAATGATTTTTTACCGAGGTTCACTTGCTTGCCGACAAGCTAGTCCTCGTTGTGGCGATTCACTCACTTAGAGGTTCACGCGCTAATTGGCATCATACTCCAAACCCTCAATAGGGTGCTGCACAACCAACACAAGATGAGGATCACACAAGCCACGAGTAATTTACTAGAGTACCTTTTGGCTCTTCGCCGGGGAAAGGTCAAGAACCCCTCACAATCACCACGATCGGAGCCGGAGACAATCACCAACCTCCGCTCGACGATCCTCGCTGCTCCAAGCCGTCTAGGTGGCGACAACCACCAAGAGTAACAAGCGAATCCCGCAGCGAAACACGAACACCAAGTGCCTCTAGATGCAAACACTCAAGTAATGCACTTGGATTCACTCCCAATTCCACAAAGATGATGAATCAATGATGGAGATGAGCGGAAGGGCTTTAGCTAAGCTCACAAGGTTGCTATGTCAATACAAATGGTCAAGTGAGTGAGCTTGAGTCGGATATGGGGCTTAAATAGAAGCTCCCACGAAATAGAGCCGTTGTACCCCTTCACTGGACACAACTTGGGGTGACCGGACGTTCCGGTCAGATCGACCCGACGCACCCTACCAGCGTTCGGTCAACGGACTGCTGCCATGTCATCTCTCTCTTCAAATACTGAGCACCCGATCCCAACGGTCAAGTGATGACCGGACGCAGCACAGTACCACGACCGGGCGCAGGACCCCAGCGTCCGATCACTTCTAGTAAGCCTCCACTCGCGATCGGACGCGTCCGATCATGCCCAACCGGACTCACCCAGTGTCCGGTCACTCACTGTCTCCTCTGTGCACTGCCACGTCAGCAGGACCAGACGTACCCCGCCAGCGTCCGGTCATGAAGTGACCCAGCGTCCGGTCGAAGACCGACGCCAGTGTCTTCACTGCTTCCACTGATCGGACGCTCTGGTCCAATTGAGATCAGCGTCCGGTGCACTATGTGAAACCCTGTCTTTTCTGTACAGGACGCCGATGGCACCATCGGACTATCCGCACTCTATGGGCGAACACTCCACCAGTGAAGTTTCTAACCCTTGCTCAAATGTGCCAACCACCAAGTGTATCACCTTGTGCACATATGTTAGCATATTTTCATAAATGTTTTCAAAGGTGTTAGCACTGCACTAGATCCTAAATGCATATGCAATGAGTTAGAGCATCTAGTGGCACTATGATAACCGTATTTCGATACGAGTTTCACTCCTCTTAATAGTACGGCTATCGATCCTAAATGTGATCACATTCACTAAGTGTCTCAATCACCAAAATAAAAATGGCTCCTACCACTTATACCTTAGCCTTGAGCTTTTTATTTTTCTCTTTCTTCTTTTCAAGTCCAAGCACTTGATCATCACCATGACATCACCATCATCATGTCTATCTTCATTTGCTTCATCACTTGGAATGTGCTACCTATCTCATGATCACTTTGATAAACTAGGTTAGCACTTAGGGTTTCATCAATTCACCAAAACCAAACTAGAGCTTTCAGCGGTGTCGAGGAGCCCCCGAGCATCGATAGCTCGGGGCATGTCTTCTTATGCCTGGGCCTTGGCTGGCGTCGTGAGCCGGGCAGGAGCCAAGGATCAGGCTTGGTCATGCCGTAGATCAGGAGCCCAAGGCTCGGGGAAGCCCCCAAGCCCTAGGCGGAAGCTGCGGTCGAGTCAAGCCCAGCCAGATCTCTTTGCCAGAGGGTGCGCGCGAGCGTGCCCGATGGACATAGCCCCCGAGCCCCTGAAGGGTTCGGTCAGGGGTCTTCTTCGTTTGGGAACCATTGGACCCGAGGCGTAACATACTTGTATGTTAGGATCTCATCACCGTAAAAAATCATATTTTGTCTTGGAGATTAGCCCATAATTCTTTAACAACCAGTGAAGTTCTTAAAGAAAGGCCAATGAGTGAATGAAGTGGGTGCAAATTATGTGGTGCTGTTATTGACTCGTGGCGCCATGCTCTTTTCTATTGTACAATGTCAAGATGTGTTTGGGCCCTAGTAGATGAGGATCTCACTAAACATATTGTTGCAACTGAAATTGATAATCCAAAGACATGGTTGTTTTTTATGCAGGAAACTTTATCTGCAAAAGAATTTCAAAAACTTCTAATCATATGTTGGGCAATCTGGTGGTGGTGGGGGGGTCCAGAGAAAGGCATTACACGAGGATATATTCCAAAGCCCATTATCAATATTCAGCTTTATTACAAAATATCTTGATGATCTCAAACTGGCTGGATGGATTGAGGACAATGAAACAACCAAGTCGACAAGAAACAAGCAACCAACTTCCAAATGGATACCTCCGCCTGAAGCTTTCTTGAAGTTTATTGTTGATAGTGCGGTGGCGCGGTCTGAAGATTAGGAGACTATTGGTGTGGTGTGTGGGGATAATGTAGGGAATTATGTTGCTGCAAGTGCTATGGTCATTGATGGTTTAACTGATCTGTCATCTTTGGAAGGTATGGCTTGTAATGAAGCAATTTCCTTGGCCATGGACTTGTTCAAGACGGCGCTGCTCAAAGGATACAAGGCGTTCGGGAACTAGCTGTGGAGGTATAACCCCAGGTACCCACGGGCAAGGGACATGGGCCGCACGGTCAAGGACGGTCCAGCCCCCAAGATTCAAGACTTGCGGCGCACGGCACTGCTCGGCGTACACTGCAAGACATCTAGAAGATTTGATCGGATACTATAGATATTGTAATATAATACTTGCCATGTAACTGACTAGGATACTTTCCTTGTAACCCTACCCCTTCAGAGTATATAAGGAGGGGTAGGGTCCCCTAGTCAGCATGCCCCATCCCACATCCAATCGCACACGCAATATCATATGATAGCCAATACAAACCAACAGACCACAGGAGTAAGGTATTACGTCGTGCTGACGGCCCGAACCTATCTACCTCTTGTGTCTCTATTGCCTTCTTGTTCTTGATTACACGTACCTCCGTCGATCAATCTATCTTCGTGGGATACCCCTCGGAGGACTGTCGATGATATTTTGTCGACAACTGATCTTGGGCAGCACGTCTGAGGTCTTGATACGTGCATGTCAGATGACGTCGGCAAGCTTTCAGATTTATTTTCTTTGACTCTGCTACAAGATTCATTCTTTATCTTCTAGTAGGCTCGGGGACTAAGTGGCTACACTTCACCTGGCGGTGAATATAGTGCTTATTTCTTGATTTACCCTTCTTATTGACGGAGTCTAAATGGCTACACTTCTTCTAAGTGAAAGAATTTTTAAATTTTATCTTGAGCCCCTTACATCCTTTTGGCAAGCCTTATTTGGCTAAGTCTGAGGTCTCCTAACCAGTTAAACTGGTTGGCATTGACTTTCACCGCCCAGGTCACCAGTTAAACTGGTCGGCTTTGACTTTTATCGCCTAGGTCACCAGTTAAACTGGTCGGCTTTGATTTTCACCGCCCAGGTCACCAATTAAACTGATCGGCTTTGATTTTCACCGTCTAGGTCACCAGTTAAACTGGTCGGCTTTGATTTTCACCGTCTAAGTCACCAGTTAAACTAGTCGACTTCGACTTCCACTGCTCAAATCACCAGTTAAACTAGTCGGCTTCACGTCAAATTGGTCGGACTTGTGCAAGACAGCGCTGCTTAAAGGATACAAGGCGCTCGGGGACTAGCTATGGGGGTATAACCCTAGGTACCCAAGGCAAGGGACATGGGCCGTACGGTCAGGGACGGTCTAGCCCACAAGATTCAAGACTTGTGGCACACGGCACTGCTCGACGTACACTGCAAGACATCTAGAAGATTTGATCAGATACTACAGATATTGTAATCTAATACTTGCCATATAACCGACTAGGATACTTTCCTTGTAACTCTACCCCTCCAGAATATATAAGGAGGGGCAGGAGTCCCCTAGTCGACATGCCCCATCCCACATCCAATCACACACGCAATATCATACGATAGCTAATACAAACCAATAGACCACAGGAGTCGGGTATTATATCATGCTGACGGCCCGAACCTGTCTAACTCTTGTGTCTCTGTTGCCTTCTTGTTCTTGATTACACGCACCTTCGCCGATCAATCTATCTTCGTGGGATACCCCTCGGAGGACTGCCGACGATATTCTGTCGACGCCTTTTGTCCTTAAATATCAGTCGTTTTCGTTTCCTGAGAAATAATTTTAACTAAATATATATTAAAAATATTACTATTTATGGTACATAATTAGCTAGTATCATTGGAAATATCTTTGAATCTAGTTTTTTTAATAAATTTATTTAGAGATATAAATATTGTACGTATTTTCTATAAATCGAGTTAAACTTGTGGCACGTACAACAACGGCGACAGTTATTTATGGGCGGAGTGAGTAGTTGTCTTGTGGTTGTGGTGCCAGCGCGCGGTTAAAGCAATAACGATTCGTTGTATTTATTTATTTAGGGATAGAGAGAACAAACATGCATTTTTAAAACAAGAGAAGCGCAGGGGCCGGCGGGCAACTGACGTATCTACATCAATGGAAAAAATCTTGCGCGTTCATTTGGAGATTAGACTGTCTCCAACAAGGAACCCATATGGACACCCAAACCTAAAATGGGTAGCAAGAGACTCAAAATCAGCCTCCAACAAAGTACCTATACAAGAAATCTATTTTGGGTTGCCTGAGAGGCATAACCCAAATATGAGCATCATCTCTCCTAGAAACCTATTTCCCGAAAGAATTCTCTTTTGGGTCTTGTTGTTGGAGAAGATGCCGAATAGTTATTGAACATTTTATCTGTCGCGCTACCCAAATGATGAATAGGTCTTGTATTTTGGGTGTTGTTGTTTGAGATAGCCTCAGGGGCAGCTGAACTCCCGTGCTAGCACTATACGGCACGCTGGAATGGGCGGAGTCTGCTCTTCTACTACGCTGTCGAGCTAGGAATGGCCAGCGCCGGTTCCCCAGTCAGCGCACTTTTCGTTGTCGATCGGATAGTACTGGCTATTTGTTTCTAAATTTGAGTACATTTGATTGACCGGCACTGAAGTTACGATAATTACTCTGAGATGACAGCGGCATACAACGGCGAGCGACAGCGGCCATCTGACGCAGGACAACGATGGTGGCAACGATGGCGACGGGCCGTGAGTTTTTTTATCCCCGTCAATGTTAGGTTCGAAATTTAGGGAAAATTAGAATCTGAGATGAAATTCCTCTTTGAGATATAGCCGTAGCATTAGCACGGGTAATATAAACAACCTGCACTTTCTGCTCGCTCTATCCATCTCACAGGCGTGCCAAAGCTCCCAGCCCCTGCGCCGGCTTCAATCCAGCAATTGGCCTCGGCCTTCACCATCTGGAGGAGTTCGTTCACGGTTGAGGTGGCGTCGGCGCTCGTTCCAAATCTGCCAACAATCGAGCGCGAACAAGCACCATGTTCGCTTGATCATTTTTGTGGCTTATAAGTCGGCTGATGTTGTTTTGTTGTGAGAGAAAAACACTGTATCATAGCTGATAAACATGACTGATACGATCAAGCGAATAGGGTGCGAGTCGAGACCTCGACGCTGCTCCCCGTTGTAGACAGAACGCAGCCTGCGCCACCAGCGAAGAGTTGTAGCTACTGCTGGCTGTGGTAGTGGCCATCCTAGCTAGAGCTTGGAAGATGAAGAACCAGACCTCTCCGGTGAATGCGCAGTCTGCTCTGTTCACTTGAACTTATTAGACCTGCTTATCTATCATGGTATTATATTTTTCTCTCGCAACAAAACAGTATCAGCTGGCTTATCAGCCGCAGAAACGCCAAACAGGAGGACGATCGATGGTTTCGTGCGTCGCAGAGGTAGCACTGCTCCCTGGCCTCCTGCCCGTGCCTTGCTCTCCCACTAAACTAGACCGCAAACTGAGCATCCCAAAGGCCCAAACTAAAATGGCGTGCAAAACTGCAAATTGACACCTTGTTCACTATTACAAGACAGCCAGGGATAGGGTACGCCGGCCGGCCCATTAACCATGTACGTACTGTTGAGTGTACCAGTACGTGTTCTTCCTATCCAAATCTGAACTTGAGTACATTTGACTAGCACTGAAGTTAACGTGCAAATTGTGCGTGTTTGTCCGCCATCACTCATCAGACTACTTAAGAACGATGCGAGCATCATGCGAATACACCTGTTTGTATCATCAGCGATGCTTCCTAAATTCGTTCTAAACACCCTCAAAGTCAATGCATGTTATATTAATGTGATGAAAACGACATCGAAATTGAATGATCCTGCAACTGGATCACTACTCGTGCAGGGATCAGAAACCACGCCGGTGGTTGGGGCCTGGGATCCGTCGTGTGGACAACTGGACTCATGAAGGTGAAGGAACAGCACGTCGTTAGTTAAACACTGCACATGAGAAAAACTGACACACATCTGCTGAAGGAAGTTTAGTTTAAGCAAATGAGGGATGCTTATCTCTATCATCCTAACGATTAACATGCTGATCGAATACTGATGCTCATTTGGTGCAAGCCATATATTAATTTCATTGAAAGCGGCATGCATCCGGTCCATGTGGAGAAACTTTCAAGTCCCTAACTAAAGCATCATGGGATAGAAGAAGGAATATACTTGGAGATTTTTGTTTCATGATTTGTACTTGGAGATTTTCACTAGTTTAAATAAATAAATTTCAGTAGGGGGCAACCCCTCCTGTTTCCCTAGAAAAAAAGAAGAAGGAATATACTATATAATCACACGGATCACATCAGCTAGCCGGTGTATAAATAGGGGAGAAGAGCACAGTACCATCACAAGACCAAGGTGGTTTGAGGTGAGAACAGGAGAGTCCCATCGCAACACACAAAGAGCGCAAGCCAACGATGGGCGTGCTCCTGCTGCTTCACGTCCTCCTCGTCGCGGTGGCGGCGATAGCTCCTGCGGCCGACGGATGGGGCAAGGAGGGACACTACATGGTGTGCAAGATCGCCGAGGTAACTGAACCAGCTTGAATTCAGTGCATGAGTCAGCCATAAGCAACCTGGAGATCGAAGCTGGACTCGTCGTAACTATGGACTGATGTATATATCCTGCAGAGCTTTCTGACGGAAGAGGCCTCGACGGCGGTGAAGGACCTGCTGCCGGGGTGGGCCGGCGGCGACCTCGCGGAGACGTGCTCGTGGGCGGACACGCAGAGGTTCCGGTACCGCTGGTCCAGCCCCCTGCACTTCGCTGACACGCCGGGGGACTGCGAGTTCGACTACGCCCGTAAGCACCCCGGACTCTGAATCCCTGATCGTTTCTCAAAATTCAGATCAGGTCGTCTCTCTGTTAGCCAACAGCGAGCTTTGCTAACAGCTGCCTGACGATCCATGTCGGGTCGACCATTAGTGCGAACTTTGCTTAAAGAAAGACACTGGAGCGAGTAGCTAGATCAGATGGATGGCACGTCGCTGTCATGCTCATGCCTTACGTCTTACTGGCTAGATAGAGAAGCAACCGGCGTCAGCCAAGTGGTTGGGTCGTTAGAATTCAAGGTTCAGAGACGGCAATTCGGCAGAGGTGTTGGGGGGCAACAAGTTCCCATTATTTGTAGGATAGAATCTCAAGGGAATATATCTAGTATCGTTCGGCCTGAGCTAGTAGCTGCCAATAATCATGGGAGAGAGAGAGAGAGAGGACGCGTAGGAGCATACATCTCCTTGCTTGCTTGTTTGGTTGGGCAAGGAAGTTAGGCTTGCGTCAACACCACAGAGGGCAAATGAGCAATCCAAGCATAAGTGCATACCAAGTCCCTGCAACAAGGTTAGGCTGTTTGGTTGGTAGCACAAACGATAATACTACTACTACCACTATGTATATAATGTGCAAGTTGTAACGAACGCATTCAGGTTTCGTGCACCGTTTTACAGATGCTACTTTTGTTTTATCACAAAGGAAGTTGAAAGCTTTTTCTTTAGTCTATATAGAACACCAGAACAGTCAACAGGCTATGGGAAGAAAGATAGGTGAAGAAATGCAAGTGCCAGTACAAACTGCCCAAAAAGTTCAGAGCTTATCTATCTTTTATTATGGTTGGAAGAACGTAGTGCATGGAACTTGCATCGTGTTAGCTAGACGAGGCCTGATGGAAACGCTCTGCTTGCTTCTGATTATGAGCAGGGGACTGCCACAACACCAAAGGAGAGAAGGACATGTGCGTGGTTGGAGCCATCAACAACTACACCGCGGCACTGAAAGACTCATCAAGTCCATGTAAGCACCAGTCGTATTAAAAATTAAACATAACCACCCTTGTACACCATTATGGAGTACTATGCATCGTAATCATATGACTTTGACCTCATCCGGGAACCGCTACCAGTTGATCCGACGGAGAGCTTGATGTTCTTGGCGCACTTCGTCGGCGACGTGCACCAGCCACTCCACTGCGGCCACACCGACGACCTCGGCGGCAACACCATCGTCGTCCACTGGTACCGAAGGAAGAGCAACCTTCACCACGTACGCTTATATATAGCTTCACAAACTCAGCCAAACATCTCACTGAGTATATATAGCACTGTGTAACTGTAACCAACCTTTGCTTGTTCTTCAGGTATGGGATGTGAACGTCATCGAGACGGCCATGAAGGACTTCTACGGCAACGATCAGAGCACCATGATACAGGCCATCCAGCAGAACATCACGGTAAGCTGGTTCAGGTTCAGGCTGCTTTTGCCTTGCTTAGTACTCGCAAGTATTGTTGATTGATTGAGCTGATGTCGTCGTCCAGGAGGAGTGGGCTAACGAAGAGAAGCAGTGGGAGACGTGCCGTAGCCGGACAAAGACTTGCGCTGAAAAGTAAGCTCATGATCTGCATGAAGCCATATTTTCTTCTTCAAGAAGTAAGCATAAATCTTCAGAGGCTAAGTGCTGCTGAAAACAAATGCAGGTACGCTGCAGAGAGCGCGAAGCTGGCATGCACGGCGTACGAGGGTGTCGAGCAGGACTCCACCTTGGAAGGTAGGTTCCCAACAAACATAGACTAGACGGATCAATTTGTGAATCTGATGATTCGACTGTAGTTTCCCTTAGATTTTAGAAGCTTGATAGATATGCGAATGTGATGTTATCCTCTTGCAACTGAACTGCAGATGACTACTTCTTCGCTGCGCTGCCGGTGGTTCAGAAGAGGATTGCTCAAGGGGGTGTCCGGCTGGCCGCAATACTGAACAAGATATTTGGTGGAAAGAGCAGGCTTCAGAGCAGTTGATTGATCCAGTAGATGAGTGGATATTAAACAAGGGAGGAGTGGGAAGGACATGGTCTGCAATCTGAATTAGAATAAGAGTATCTTGTCTGACAATGTAACTTCAGTAATCACACACAGCCACTACAGATCAGAGTAGCTCACGAAATATTATTGTTACAAAATTGAAGCACTTGTAGTACTGTGCAATAGATGATGCAATCACATTTGTATTTATATATATTCTTGTATCTTTCAGATCGACGTAATCGGAAATGTTATAAAAGAAATTTGAAAGGAGAAGATAAGAACACTCATCCGCAAGTGGACCGGACGCATGCATCGACCGTCTGAGGACATGCATTAAAATTTTAACACAGTGGCCCGGTGCTATTGCATTGCCTGGACTAGGTTCTGGAACAAGAACAACTGCACGACAGCACGAGCGCGCCTTCTGTCGAGGGCTCGAGGTCCGTCCCCATACGCCAGCCACCTTTCAACGCACCTTTCCCACCCTGCAGTGCAGGGCTGCAATGAGTGTCCGTCAGCACGAGCGCCCATGAACGATTTCTAGCAATACTAGAACCGGCAGTACTGTACAGGCTAGATCTGTAGACTGTAGTGTTGGAAACTGAATTGTTCTGCCAAAATTATGAACCTTGTGGTGGAGACTGGATATATAGTGACCGACCAAAGAGTTGTTTGGTGCAACTTCTTGCTGTCCAGTCATCCATAGCGAGGGCAGTCAGTGGATTGAAGCCGGCTTCAGGGCTTTGTCGACTGAATTTGGGTATATACTACTGCTGCTGTTGCTGCTGTATAAGTTAACGTGCAAATTGTTCATGAGTTATTTTTTGAAATAAAAATTGTTCATGAGTTATCATTATCATATTGTTCAAACGATGTGCTCGTGCGAATATGCCTGTTCTTGCCATCGGTGATGCTTCCTCAAATTGGTTCTAAATAGCTCAAAGTCAAAGTCAGTATGTTAGAACACAGAAATTAGAATTTTCAAATTGGTTCTAAATAGCTCAGAGTCAATGCCTTCTGTAGGAAATAAATTAATGAAGATGCTTATCTCCATCCTAGTCCCAGTATCAACTAGTACTAACATACTGATCCAGTCGCTGCAAACCATTTCGTCGAGAGTCACGTGCATGCATCCAGTCCATACAGAGAAATTTTCAAGTCCTCGTCAGGGCTCAAGTTGTAGATCGGAACCGAAGGAATCCAAACACGGATCGCGTCAGCTAGCCGGTGTACCAGCACAAACAGGAGGTAGCAAAGGTGAGAAAACAGCGATCGAGCGAGTGATCGAGCAAAGCCAGATCTCTTCCGTGTTAGCTCTCTCTTCCTTGCTTAACCACCCTATATTTAGATCTACTTTTACAACACTCAGATGAAACAACTGCAACATACGTCTAAAAACAGATAAAACATTTGGAACATACACTTACAACATAGCTATTGCAACATATGCAACGTCCACTTATGACACTTGCAACATACGTCAGAAATAGATAAAACATTTTGAACAAACTCTTGCAACATACGTGTATAGCTATTGCAACATGTGCAACATCCGGATCTACCTTTGCAACATCCCATACGAAACACTTGAAACATACCTTTGAAACACCTGGAACATACGTTTGCAACACGCGTTTTCAGCGCAACATGACGCAGGCGGCATGGTGAACTGACACGGTGGAGGCCGCCCTACGTGACAGCCGTGGCATTCGGGGCGCGCGACTACCAGGGCAAATCCACGTGGGCTAGAGCGAGCAACGGCGTGGGGCACACGGAGCGAGCGGCGTGGGAGCTAGCAACAGAGCGGGTGGGCAGGGCGCTAGGCGCACGGGACGTGCGGAGCGAGCGGCGCGGGCGGGCGGGTGCGGGGCGCGTAGAATAAGTACGGAGCGGTTCGTCCGGACAGACAGACGCCCTATGGCAAGCATTATGGTTTTGCAAAGGGAAGGGCATATATACCTGCCTTGTTTCCACCACTGCACATGTGTGTCTCTGTCTCCGGCATGCTGGGAATGGGATGCTTTGCTGTTTGGGCCGGGAATGGAATTCGGAATCTCTTGTTGCTTCCCTGCTCAGTCGCAAGCAAATGCAATGGACAGTGCAACCGAATCAGTCACGCATGCTCAAAATCAGAAAAAAACACATTATATATTCACATCGGTGTTCGGTTGTTGTGGCTACAGAGAGAGCCACTGCGAGGAGGCGTGGTTGAATAAAATTAGCAATCGCAATTCGCAAGACGTTCACATATCGGATTCCTCCAATTGTTGGCACAACAGGAAGCATCATTCAACAACGTGCATAGTATACACGGCATGGAATCTATAGAAGGGAGCGATATACGCAGCGTTTGCTGGAAGCGATACAACATGACATTTAAGGCCTGTTTGGTTGTGTGTCTATCTTCCAATCAGGCTCCAGAAAGCCACCTTAGATCTGTTTGGTTTTCTATATTGGCCTGTTAGCTAGCTCCGCCGGGCCACCGACCACTCCCTAGCCTGGCTTGCTGGGAACACGGTGGGTCCCAAATAGCTCCGCATCGTTACTACTTACTAGCTATGGACAGTTGTAGTTGTATCTGTCATTGTCCTTGTATTTCTTTTACTTGGCTTTTTGATTCCTCCTTTCTAATCTGATTTTTTTTCTTTGATGTAAAGTTTTTTTCAATTGCTGTGTAGCAATTGACGCCATTAATTATGCTCTGTGGCATTATAAGTGTCAACGCATTTTGATCTCATATAGAGTCATCCCCTCCATCTATTGTGAGGGGATATTATCCTTGGCTAGGTAGATCAACAAAACGCAGGTGCTTGTATTTTTGCACAATATAGATAGATCATTATTCTCTTATACTGGATTTTATCTCCTTTGATTTATTTACTATGTTTTTATTTTTTTAATTGTCATTTTGAAATATATTTGTATTTTATCATATATTATATGAATTTCAACCTTAAATATAAATGCATTAAATACGACATGTATAGGGCTTCATGTTTTTCTTAATAATGACATAAGTGGGTAATAGTGGAATATGTAATTATGTATAGTGATTTTAAGTTATTTTTTTGCATAATAGTAGTGATAGATAATTTATATTTATCAATGGGCCCTTTAATTGTATTTTCTTCGTGTTGTAATTTCTAAGACTTTTAGCCTTCTATTGGCCGAATAGTAATAATATAATATGTAGATTTGCGTCGACCTCAAAGAAAATAAATTGTTAATTAATAATGATTTTGTTAATAGCTTTTGCCTTCGGGTTCCCCTATCCGCTTTGGCATGAGATCCGAGGGGGGGTGATTAATAGAACAGTTCATTAGCAAATTTTGACTCGAGATCTGTGTAAAATTTTACAAAAGGTACACTGGGGCAGTTCTCAATATATTATATATACAGTATAATTCACAACGGCGTGGACCGCGTGGATTGGGGTACGATTTGCTGCACATGTGAACTACGCACGCCTCTGTCAGCAAAACTTTTTTTTTAATAAAGTAACAAAAGCTGAGAGCAAAATATGCATGTTTATCTCTAGCCTAGCTACATAGGAGCATGTGCATTATCGTATTGCTGTCAATTGGTGCAAACCCTAGCCATGATGGGTCACACGGTTAAGTAATCTACTGTTCCCTAGCGTGAAACCACGGTAGGGGAAGGTGGCGTCGAAAAAGCTCCATGGTATGGTACTGTAGCTACAGCAGGGGCAGACGTCGAACGGCTCTCCTGCCAAGACCAGTAATATTAGAAGAGAGACGCTAAAGCCGCTAGCCAAGCCATCGCGACCAATCCTAGTCATCAGAGCAAAGACGGCGACTGACATGTCTGTGTACTAAGATTAGATGGGTAGAATCGTATATATAGTTTGCCACTGTAACTCAGTAAAGAGAGCGAGTTCAATTTTGCTATCTTCTCTGTAGAGCTCCGGCCAACGCTGGTGCTTGTGCTGTGTGTGTGCTCTGTTCTCCATCCCTTCTTCTATCTCTATCCATAGTGTATGCTCGGCAACGATAGTGCGTGGTCGGCAATGCTGGTGAGTGGTCGGCTCACTCGTGCCGGAGATCCAGGGGGCCAACAAGTGGTATCAAAGCCGTACAAGCACCGTCGTCGGACTAACCGCTGGCGATGACGGACGGTTTGGAGATGGACGACAACAGCGGCGCTGATGTGGCTGCTCAGCCACGACAGAAGATCGTTGTGCGCACGGTGCGGGAAGTCAGCGGCACTAGTTGGCCGACGCTGACTCGCACCAACTATGGCGAGTGGTCGGTAACCATGAAGGTCAAGTTCAGAGCCCGACAGCTCTAGAATGCTATTGATAAGGGCACCGACAACGAAAAAGATGACATGTCAGCGTTAGAGGCTATCCTCGCTGCTGTGCCAGAGGAGTACAGGGAACCGTTGGGGGCGAAGAGTTCTGCTAAGGAGGCGTGGGAGGCCATTGCGGCGATGCGCGTCGGTTCCGATCGCGCAAAGAAGGCGACGGCCCAGCTGCTGAAGCAGCAGTACGCCAACCTCAAGTTCAAGGATGGTGAATCGGTGGAGGACTTCTCCCTCCACTTGTAGACGCTCATCAGCAAGCTGAGGAGCCACGGCGTCACCATTGACGAAGAAGAAGCGGTCTCCAAGTACCTCCACTCCGTGCTGGAGAAGTACATCCAGATTGCTCTCTCTATAGAGACGATGCTGGACTTGTCCACCCTCACCATTGAGGATGTGACAAGTCATCTGTGGGCAGTGGACGAGCGCATGTAGCAGGCCACAGCAACGAAGGACAGCGGCAAGCTGCAGCTGACAGAGGAGGAGTGGGCTGCCCGGAGGAACTCCGGGGTAGCCTCCTTCAGCCGTGGTGGCGATAGCAAGCGCCGCGACAAGGCTTCTTCAGAGAAGAAGAAGAAGGTCGACCCCAACGCCTACCGGCGCTGTGGGAAGACGGCCATTTGGCAAAGGAGTGCCCAAATCGCAAGCAGGAGAAGAAAACTGAGGCTCATCTGGCGCAGGCTGATGATGATGATGAGGCCACTCTCCTGATGGCGACGTTCTGTGCACTGCACGACGTTGAGGCCAAAGAGAAGGGAGAGGTGATGGCGGTGGAAGAGCCTGGGAAGGCTCTGAAAGCTGTCTACCTCGATGAACCGCGCGTCTAAGTCCACCTCGGACGTGTGGGCGGCGAGCAGGAGCAGCGGTGGTACCTGAACTCCGACGCCAGCAACCACATGGTGGGCTCCAAGGCAACCTTCTCCGAGCTCGATGATGACGTGACTGGCACGGTGAAGTTCGATGATGGCTCAAGGGTAGCGATCCGAGGGCGCGGCACCATCATCTTCAGGTGCCAGAACGGCGAGCACCGCACGCTAACGGATGTATATTACATCCCGCGGCTACGTTCAAGGATCATCAGCATTAGCTAGCTGGATGAGCGCGGCAGCGAGATACTGATCAAGGACGGCGTCCTCAGGATCAGGGACTAGGAGCAGCGCCTTCTTGCTAAGGTGAAGAGGTCCCAAAACTAGTTGTACCTACTCGACTTGAAGGTGGAGCAGCTGGTGTGCCTAGCAGCACGGCACACGGAGGAGCCATGGTTGTGGCATGCCCGATTCGATCATCTCAGCTTCGACGCGCTTGGTTGGCTGGAGAAGATGGTCCGAGGGCTGCCCCACATCAAGCACGCAGGTGAGCTGTGTGACAGCTGCCTGGCCGGGAAGCAGAGGAGGCTGCTGTTCCAAAAGGCGGCCAAGTATCACGTGGCGGACGCTCTTGACCTCATCCACGGCGACCTCTGCGGGCCAATCACGCCAGCCACAAACGGTGGTCGGCGGTACTTCCTCCTGCTCGTGGATGATTGCAATCGATATATGTGGCTACAACTCCTGACAAGCAAGGATGAGGCGGCGGTGGCGATCAAGAAGTTCAAGGCGCGCGTGGAGGCTGAAAGCGGCAAGAAGCTGCTCGTGCTGCGGACTGATCAGGGCGGTGAATTCACTTCGGTGGAGTTCATTGCGTACTGCGCGGATCAGGGTGTGGTGCGACACCACGCCGCGCCGTACTCGCCACAACAGAATGGCATGGTGGAGCCGTGGAACCAGACGGTGGTCGGCATAGCTCGATCCATGATGAAGGCCAAGAGCATGCTGGCAAGGTTCTGGGGTGAGACGGTGACCACGGCGGTGTTCATCCTCAACCGTGCACCCACTAAGGCCCTGACGAGCAAGATGTCGTTCGAAGCTTGGTATGGGCGCAAGCCGAGCGTGTCCTTCCTCCGGACATTCGGCTGCATCGGCCACGTCAGGAAGATGAAGTCGGTCCTCACCAAGCTGGAGGACAGGAGCACACCGATGGTGCTCCTAGGCTACGTGGAAGGTACCAAGGCATACCGGATCTACAACCCATACGAAGGTAAGGTGGTTGTCTCGCGCGACGTCGTGTTCGACGAGAAGGCGGCCTGGGACTTGAACAGTCCGAGCACGGGGGAAGCTGGCGGCTTCACCAGCACCTTCGTCGTCGAGCACTTGGTCATCCACGGTGGTGGAGACGCTGGAGAGCAGGTGTCGAGCACTCTAGCAACAGAGCCGGGCACTCTGGGAGGGGTGCCGAGCACTCTAGAAGTGGTGCCGAGCGGTCCTGCAGTGGTGCCAACCACTTCAGGATGGATGTCGAACAACCCTGTAGCGGAACCGAGAAGTCTTGCAGTGGTGCCGACCACTCCAAGACTGGTGCCTAGCACTCCTACAATGGTGTCAACCATTTCAGTAGTGGTGATGAGCGGTCCAGGAGTAGTGCTGAGCACTACAGTCGGGGTGCCGAGCACTCCAGGTGCTGTCCCGAGCACTCCGGTGGAATAGGGAACTCCATCGATGCTGATCGAGTTCGCCTCACCTCCAAGCGACATCACTGAGTTCATGGATGCCTTCCACGAAGGTGAGGAGGTGTGATTCCGTAGGTTGGACGACATCATCGGCGGCATAGGGCCCTCAAGCCTAGTGGGTCGGTTGCTTAATGACCCAGAGCTACTTCTCGTCAGTGCAGAGGAACCACCCACGTTCACGTTGGGCGAACACGATGCTAATTGGCGACAGGCGATGCTGGAGGAAATGAAGGCGATCGAGGAAAATGAGACTTGGAAGCTCATCGATCCACCTCCAGGATGTCGTCTGATCGGCCTGAAGTGGGTGTACAAGCTCAAGCGGGACTAGCACGGCGCTATTATCAAGCCCGAGGCTTTGTCCAGCGCAAGGGCATCGACTTCGAGGAAGTCTTTGCGCCGGTAGCGCGTATGGAGTCTGTCTGACTGCTACTAGCTTTGGTAGCAGCAAAAGACTGGCACATCCATCACCTGGACGTAAAATCGACCTTCCTCAACGGTGAGCTAGCGGAGACGGTCTTCGTCAGACAACCTCCGGGTTTCACCGTCAAGGGAGTGGAGAATAGGGTGCTCCGACTGCGCAAGGCGCTCTACGGGCTGCGGTAGGCCCCACGAGCGTGGAACGCCAAGCTTGACGCCACGCTGGGCGAGCTTGGGTTCACATGGTGCGCAACCAAGCACGTACTCTACACGCGGCAATGGGGAAGGAGGAGCTCGTTGTCGGCGTGTATGTGGACGACTTGATGGTCATCGGCGTGCATGCGGAGGATATCGACAGCTTCAAGCGTGAGATGGCTGCTCATTTTTGAATGACCGATCTCGGTACGCTCTCCTACTATCTCGGCATCGAGGTGAGACAGGGGAAGGAGGAGCTCACGATCGGTCATAGCGCGTACGCCTAGAAGCTGTTGGAGCGGAGTGGCATGGCTGAGTGCAAGCTGTGCATGACTCCGATGGAGGAGCGACTAAAGTTGACGAAGGCCAGTACCGCGGCGAAGGTAGATGCAACACTCTACCGGAGCATCATCGGCGGTCTGTGTTACCTAGTCCACACGAGGCTGAACATTGCGTTCGTCGTGGGCTAGCCGACGTGTGGACTAGGTAGCGCAGACCGTCGACGATGCTCCGGTAGAGTGTTGCATCTACCTTCGCCGTGGTACTGGCCTTCATCAGCTTCAGTCGCTTCTCCATCAGAGTCACGCACGGCTTGCACTCAGCCATGCTGCTTCGCTCCAACAGCTTCGAGGCGTACACGCTATGACCGAGTGTGAGAGCCTCCTTCCCCTGTCTCACCTCGATGTCGAGGTAGTAGGAGAGTGCGCCGAGATCATCCATTCGAAAACGAGCAGCCATCTCGCGCTTGAAGCTGTCGATGTCCTCCGCATGCGCGCCGGTGATGATCAAGTCGTCCACATACACGTCGACGACGAGCTCCTCAGATCACTGGGCTGCGGTGAAGCGGCTGCTGTGCTACGTCAAGGGGACCGTGGATCAGGGGATCATCTTCTCCAAGACCGGTGAAAGTAGGCTGCAGCTCACTGTGTTCAGCGATGCAGACATGGCGGGGGACATCGACGGACGACGGAACACCTCTGGCGTGCTTGTCTTCCTCGGGTTGGCTCCAATTTCATGAATGTCACTGAAACATAAGGTGGTGGCACTGTCCACGTGCGAGGCAGAGTACGTGGCGGCGGCCACAGCGGCGTGCCAAGCTGTGTGGCTACGTCGACTGCTGGGCGAGCTGATCAATGTGGAAGCTCACCCACCAGCACTGATGGTAGACAACCAGCCCGTCATCGCCCTCGCGAAGAATCCAGTTCTCCACGACTGGAGCAAGCACATCGACGTCAAGTTCCACTTCTTCAGGGACTGTGTCGATGGAGGGCAGATCGTCATCGAGTTCGTCGAAAATAGTCGGCAACTCGCGGACTGTAGCTACAACAGGGGCAGGCGCCGAACGGCTCTCCTGTCGCACTGTAGCCACAACAGGGGTAAGCGTCAAAGTCAGCCCTACTGTCACATCTAGTCACTATAGCAGCGCGGTGGCCTGACATGTCTGTGTACTAGATTAGATGGGTAGAGTTGTATATATATAGTTTGCCACTGCAACTCAGGAAAGAGAGCGAGTTTAGTTTTGCCATCTCCTCTGCAGAGCTTCGGCCAACGCTGGTGCTTGTGCTGTGTGTACTCTGTTCTTTCTCCCTTCTTCTATCTCTATCCATAGTGTGTGCTCGGCAATGATAGTGTATGATCGGCAACGCTGGTGAGTAGTCGGCTCACCCGTACCGGAGATCCAGGGGGCCAGCACACACGTGCACGTGAAGTATACTTATTTTCTTACATAAAAGGCATCGTGGACAGGAGGAATCAAAACGCGGATGGCATCGATTAGCCTGTGTATAAAGGCACTGGCATCGGATACACAGCTTGCAACACTGAAGAGAAGAGAGTGTGGCAGAGAGGTTCTGTAGCTGTTAAGAAAATACGCTACGAAAATGCGGCTGCTCCTGCTTCTTCAAGTCCTCCTCTTCACGGTGGTGGTGGCGAGGGCTCCCACCGCCGCCCACGCATGGCGCAAGGAGGGCCACTACATGGTGTGCAAGATCGCCGAGGTAACAAACAGAACACAAGCTATCTTGAGTGATTCTTTATTACAGTACTTATTGGTTGCCGTTGACCGGATTTCTCTGATGATGAACTGAAAACTGTATGCTGCATTGCTGCTGCGTGCAGAACTTTCTGACGAGCGAGGCCTCGGCGGCGGTGGCGAATCTCCTGCCGGAGTGGGCCGGCAGCGAGCTCGAGGCGACGTGCTCCTGTGCCGACGACGAGCGGCGCAAGTACCCGTGGTCTTCGCCGACACGCAGGGAGACTGCCAGTTCATCTACGACAGTAAGCTTATATAGCTAGCCTCGATCTCACCGGCATCCATCCAAGACTACCTGTACATGTCGCGGTGTAGTAATAATGAACAATGTTTGTGACCACCAGGGGACTGCCACAACATGAAAGGAGAGAAGGACATGTGTGTGGTCGGAGGAATCAACAACTACACTGCAGCGCTAATGAACTCATCAGCTCCAAGTAAGCATGCCTCAGACGATCCCTCATTGTACTATGTCTTTTTATCACTCTGTGATACTAATATATAATCCTTGTTACACGCACTGTCACTGCCACCAGGCGTTGATCCGACGGTAAGCCTGATGTTCCTGGCGCACTTCCTGGGCGACATCCACCAGCCGCTCCACTGCGGCAGCGCCCAGGACTACGGCGGCAACACCATCGCCGTCAACTGGTACAACAGAACCATGACCAACCTTCACCGTGTGTGGGATCAGGACATCATCGAGAAAGCCATGAAGGACTACTACGGCAACGACCTGAGCATCATGACCAACGTCATCATGCTCAATATCACTGTGAGTACAAGTGCTAGATAGCTCTACTCACTGCACACACTCTGATGGTCGATGCATATATAGCGTGCAGTGCTTCATTCGATTTACTTCAGTTTTCGCCATGTTCGTCTGGGAACTAGCTAGAGATTGAGCTGCTGTTATATATCTGTGCATCCTGCAGGAGAACTGGTCCGATGAAGAGGAGCAGTGGGAAGCGTGCCCTAGTAAAACCAAGACTTGTGCTGACAAGTGAGCTCGAGATCTGCAACAAAAAAAGTCGCTCAAGCTTTGTGTAGAAGTAATGAACCTATTGACTGATCTTCATAGGCTAATTAACCGTTCTGAATGCAGGTACGTCATGGAGAGCGCACAGCTGGCGTGTGACGTGGCGTATGCGGGTGTCCAGCAAGGCTCCATCTTGGGAGGTAGGCGCTGAACTGAACACCAGATCGATCAAATGGTCTTGTAAGCTTAAGTATAGAAGAAACGTGATGTGATGCCATCCCTGATCCGGTTGAAACTACTGCAAATGCAGATGAATACTTCTTCTCTGCGCTGCCGGTTGTTCGGAAGAGAATAGCGCAAGGAGGTGTCAGGCTCGCTGCAATCCTCAACAGGATCTTCGGTGAGAGCATCAGCAGCAGGCTGCAGAGCAGTTGATCCACTAGGAAGGGAGCGGATTAGTTATTGACAATAAGAAGTGCATGGAACGAGTTGTTTCTTGCTTGCCTGTAACTTTAGACGTAACCAGAATAAGATTCTCTTGTCTGAAAGTGTGACTTCAGCGATCAGGATATATGACTGCTGGATCGGATTATTTATCTTCTTCATTCTTTTTTTCGCGACCATTATCTTCTTCATTCAGACAGAAGTGATCAGGATGACTCGCGTGTGTTGACTTTATTTATGCTATGAAGCATACTTGTATGCACCGTGAAGTGAGATCACACTATATATATTCGTCTAGGCAGCTTTTTCTTTCGAGCAATTCTCCCAACCTCCAAACCTCGTGCTTCGGCATCTCGTTTGCACAAATTTGGTTTGCACGACCAGCATCGTGTTCGAATTTGCGTATTTATCCTGCTGATCCATCCGAACAAACCCCACCCCATACCCCAAATAAGGGTTTGAAGCAAACACACCCTGAACCTTGGCTGAACTCAAGATCCAAAATCCCCCCTCTCATCAGCTTAAATTATATATGTATATATAGGATCATGGCACAGTAATCCGTTTCCTGAACATGGGCACTGACACTGTTCCTGAATCATGAGTTCCTTCCATTGGTTGATTCAGAGCAAGTGTTGTAGAGTGCAACAGATTGAGTAAGCTGACACTTCTAGCAATAAATCATAAGTGGTGCGTAATACACTCTCTACTCAGAAATCTTAGTAGCTCTGATTTCCAATCAGCCGCAATCAAGATGACTTCTGCAAAGCAACTCAGCATTGTGTCCACGACTGCGAGTTAAAAAGAACATCAAAAAGGAAAGGGACAACAGTGAAACCTTTTCTTATCTATGTTACAGAAGAAATGATGGTCTATAAATTCTCAACATTTAAATTCTCTAACACCCAAACTGGAACTGCTAAAATCACATCAAAGATAACAGTCGATACAAGTGAAAAAGAATGCAACCTCCTTTCAAATAAATTCATGGACAAGGAAATTGGGACAAGCAACAAGGCCGAGGTTCATTCTTCTACCGCACATCAGTGAAAGTGCGGAGATCGCTGTGGGCTGTAAAGTTCCAGCACTGCTCTATGAAGACACAAGTTGAGGATGCTAACAAGGTGATTTTCTACAAAAGCTTCAGACCGCCAGTAACATCATCAACCATATCAGCTGGCCCTGCCCGGTTGAAACGGTAGGATCAGCAACAGAGCAAGTAAGAATACACTTAATATCATGGGAATGTGAGTCGAATGCAACTTACCCAGAATAACCATGACTGTCCTTGAATCTATATAAAGTTTAGAGACAAGGAAAAATTCAAATCAACAGAAAACCAAAATTAAGAAAGAGAATGTTACAATCCAAAACTTCAAAAAACTCACTTGGAGCAATCTGTGTTCTTCCGGCGTCTATGGTTATGTGAGTTGGCAGATTCAAAGACTTTGCTCTCCCCTGCATCAAAAAGGTAAATTTAGACACACTGAACAAAAAACGCAAGTGTCGTGTTAAAAAAAAAGGTAAGTTTTACTTTTTACCAAAAAGCATGGGGGAGTTCCCCACAAAAAGCAATCAGCCAAATCCTTCACGATTCAGGGAATTTACAGCAAGCTTTTATTTTTGCTTCAATACAAATTGGAGCAAAAGATTTCTCTAAAAAAAATAAACTATTTCACCATGCAAATACCAAATGTTCCATTTTAGATAATAAAGGAATGCAATTCACGTTATGGCCCAGAATGAAGTATTATTTTTTGTTCAAGGTCATTTCATCATGTTTGGATCTCAGAAAAGGAGATTCAAGATAGTCAACACATAAGAATGAAGAATATTTACTTGTAAAACAAGCATATCTTCCTCGCTTTCTATTTTCACAACCACTTTAACTTGCCCACACCGCTCCCACCTGCAAAACATGGAAAACAGAGAGCCAAGGAAATTTGGCAAATGTTTTCTTATCTCAGTGGAATATGAAGTCGAACGTTTGGAAGAAGCTTCAAAGTTCAAACAACACAAGGAATTGTTTTGGAATAATACCTTCTTAGTGATTTCGGAGCTCTCTGTTGGAGTTTTTTGAATAGCCCAAGAGTTGCATGACTAAAAAAACAGAAAAAAAGGAAGGCAACATTTCAATCAATACTGATATTAAAAAAACACAGAAAAGCATATGCAAGTATGATAACTATTTCACTGCTGAAGGTAACAACTGAAGTGCTGGAGGCAAAGATCAGCATCAATTTCTTAGCCTGGTAATTCAATTCATTAAAGCTAAAATGTTCACATGTTTCATGGCCAAAGTAAATGCAACATCATATATGCCCTAAGACTTAGTTAAAGCCAGACAGCTTTTGCGAGGATAATGTGGCTGATAACACTGATAATGCATCACAGATATTAGCAGTACTCCCATGGCAACTGATGTTGCATGGCTGTCTAGCCAAATATTGCTGACTAAAAAATTATATTGGTTCATTTCTGTTTTGTGGAAGCCATCAAAACTTTGGATGCACCGTAAGTCCTACTGTGTGAAGCAACCAAGATAAAAGGTAGCACTGATTTTGCCATCCAAACACAGTTGATAAAATTATATTTGATAGGAGAGGCAGCTGGTATGGCTATTATCTTAAAAACTGTGACGTTTCAGCCAAACAAACTACAGAATCAGATATAACCTATATGAGTCAGCCAACCTATCTAGTAATATAACTAAATAATCCCCATCTCTTCATCTATCTGCTGACTTTGTAGAGTGAATAAATCAAGACAATATTATGCACTTCTATGGATTATACTGCAACTTAAATACACCAAACAGCAGGAACATAATGCTACTATTTAATTCAGAACAATGAGTAACTGCCAGCATAGAAAGAACAAAGAGACTGGCACCACATATCAAACAAACATGATCCATTTTTTTACTTCTGCACTGATGACGGCAACACCTGTACAAGTTCTAAAGTTTGGTCATTACTAATACAGTGTCCGTTCGTTTGTAGTCCATCAAAGCACATCATAGGCCTAACAGTACCTTGTTCTATCGAACAGATATGGATCCTAAAATCTCCCGTGCTAAAGACGAGACAGGCAGTCTTTGGTTCAAAGGCATAGCGATCAATTTAAAACTTTTGGTAACCACATGGTATACAAACTAGCCAAACATTCAGGCTAACTAGTGAGGTATGTTCATTTCTCCCAATATATACTCATCTTCAATCATGGCTTAGTGAAGCGAAGAAAGTCTCACCTGCATTGTGCGGCAATCTTCCCCTTCCCCATCTTCAGATCATTCCTCACTACCAGCACCTACAACCAAAGAAACAACCAACACAACTGAGCATCCCTTAATTCTATCCCTGCCCCAAAACACAGTCCAACACACCAAACTGCTAGATGTCTGAACTAAATCTCCAATACCATTTTGAAATCTTCTATTATCTCAGCAAGGTTCTCGATCTCCAGGGGGCTGGCGGCGGCCTGAGACTGGGACCTCTCCGCCTCCCTGGCGGAGTCGGACTTGGTCACCACGTTCCGTGCCCAGTAGAGCAGCCGGAGCCCGGTCCTCTTCTGCCCGCCGCCCGCCCGCTTCGCGGCGCGGCTGCGGCCGGAGTTTTCGTCATCATCTTCCTCCGAGTCATCCTCGGAATCGTCATCGGAGGGGCCCCCGGAACCTGGGGCGGCGGCGTGGCGCGGATGGCGGGCGAGGGCGAGGAGGTAGCCGAGCGCGAAGCAGCCGGCGGCCCCGGCGACGGCGGTGGCGGCTGCGGGGAGCGCGGCGGCCGTGGGAAGCGAGAGCACGGAGGCCGACGCGCCCATCGGGATCGCCGTCGCCGGTCACCGCCGTCGTCGGGGTCTGTGGCTCTGTGCGTCTCACGATACCGTGGGTTTTTGGGACTGGTATGTCAGGAGGACAAGACTCTGGCCTGCGGCTATTGCTCAAAAAAGAGTCCAAACCGACAGCGACAGGTCGGGCTCGGCTCGGTACAGCCCCGCTCACAAAAGAGCATTTTATGTCTGCGTCGTTATAAAAGATCCAAATTATGTATGTACCATTGAAAAAATAAAAAGTTGTTTAGTATGCTTGTATGAAATTTTCTTTTCATACATGCCACTTTTGTCACTTTGTCATCTGATTCTAACGGAGCTGGGTACCAGTTAGACGTAAAATTACTTTTTTGCCCATCACTCTTTCTACTCAATCCCCACTGATTCTTCTTTCACTTGTTGTTCGTTCTCCACTTCAAGCTATGAGCCAAACCCTAGAGGAGAGGAGGGAGCAAGCGGGTGGGCGTGGAGAAGCAAAGACAAGGTGCGGTGGGCGTGGAGGAGCGGCCAGGCGCTGTGGAGGGGAACGAGGAGGAGGCGCTGCATGCATGAGAGTCAGTGTGAGGGCTTGGGCGCTTGACTTCGTCTTGAGGGCGGTCGGCAGCCAGCATGGGGGCTGCATCGGCTAATTTGGCTTGAGGCGGGCGCGGTTGAGTCCGTGGGGCCTCACGCGGGGAGGCTGTAGGGGCCAGGCTCGCGTGGGTCGCCTGAGGCTCCAGCAGGCCAGATTTCTCGCGGATTCAGAAAAGATGGCAGACAAGCGACCAGCTTGGCTTCCAGATGGGTGAGTTCTCCTTCCCTTGCTTCAATTGCATAACATCAGTGCTATGTTTGGTGTGGTTAGGATTGGATAAAATGTGTAGATATATATGTTGTTCATCTGTAGGAATGACATCGAGACCAATTTCAATCTAGAAATCAGGACAATTAGTCCAACTATGCGTGGACCATGGTATGGCATTAACAAAGTTGTTGATTCAGACATCATAAATTTTAAAGACCTTATTGATGAAATTGTGGATGAGTTTCCTTGCGGGTATGGTGATGTAGTGAAGCTGTTCTATTTCTGTGCTCATAGCAAGTCCAACATATAAATTCATTCAGACCAAGACTTAATGCATATGTTCGCGAAACATATGAGCTCCAAGTGTTATTGCATGTCAATTGCATATCATAAACCTGATGCTGATCCACCAGAAATTCCACTATTGGACAATGTTAACATCCCATGCACCCTATCAATGTCAACCCCTGGCTATGTAGAACCTAGAAAAGGAACTCAAACTGGGACTGCTACAGAACCAGATAATAACATGGTACAGGTTGAGGATAATTATCTTATGAATCCTGAACCAGAAAATAAACATGTGGGGGTTAATGAGGAGGGTTTATATATTGACATAGCACTTGCTTCTCATGCAAATGTTGACACAATTGAGAAAAAAGGATGAAGATTATGATCCAGGTTCAGGCTCTGAATCTGATTCTATGTCTAACTTCAATATGGATGCTAAGGTAGATGAGATTGTTAAGGATAGAGTGCCATCTCACATCCCTGATGTTGCATACAACAAAGATGACCCTCATATGGAAGAAGGGATCATCTATCCAAACATGCATGAATTTAAGTTGGCTCTTACAACACATGCTATCAAGAATGAATTTGAGTATAACATTGAAAAAAATGAACCAGGAAGGTATTGTGTATACTGCACAGGATTGGTAGATGGTTGTAAGTGAAGGATTCATGCATCGACAATGGGCGATAATATTACTGTACAGGTAATATCTTTGTTTATATTTTATCACTAATATTTTGTTCATATTTCTGAATTAATTTTTCTGTTTCAAATTGAACTTTGTAGGTCAAGAAGAACCATTCTCCTCATGTCTGTCATAGTACTAGGAGTGGGAAAGTGAAGGGTGCTACCAAGTTTTGGATTTCTGAGAAGATTAAGGAGTGGTTAGCTGAGTACCCAACTGTTAGGTCTACAGAACTTCAGAGAAGACTGAAGGATGATTACAAAGTCACTATCAGTTACAAGAGAATGTATGATGGAAAGGAAATTGCTATGGAAGAGTTGTATGGTAACTGAAAAGGAAGATTTGATAGCTTGTACAGGTTTAAGGCACAGATAGAACAATTCTATCCTGGCAGCTGTGTTGTCATTGATCATCACAACAATAGAGGATAAGATTAGGTTTAATAGATTTTTTTCAATGAAACCTTGTGTTGAAGGTTTCCTTAGAGGTTGCAGACCTTATTTGGCTGTTGATAGTACATTCTTGACTAAAAAATTCAGAGGTCAATTATGCATTGCTTGTGCAGTTGATGGGCATAACTGGATGTACCCAGTTGTAATAGGAGTCATTGATTCTGAAACCAATAAAAACTGGATTTGGTTCATGGAGAAGCTTAAGGAAGCTATAAGTACCCCACCTGGTCTGACTTTTTGCACAGATTGTGGTCAGACAGTCATGACAGGAGTTAGTGAGGTATTCCCAAATGCAGAGCATAGAGAGTGCATGTGGCACTTAGTGTAGAATTTTAAGAAAAGGTATAGTGGGAAAGTGTTTGATAAACATATGTGGGCTTCTACTTATTCTTGGAATTCATATATGTTTGAAAAGCATATCCAGGCCATGGCTGCAGCAAATCCAGCAGCAATATTGTACTTGCAGCAAAACCTTACAAAACTATGGATAAGAAGTCAGTACTCTACATTGCCAAAAGTCGACTATGTCACCAATAATTTAGCAGAAAGCTTCAACAATTGGATAAAAATGATAAGGGGATGCATCTAGATGACTTAATGAATACTATAAGACATAAGCTTCTTATCAAGTGGAACTAGAGGAAAAATGCAAATAAAATGGAAAGAAATTTTTTGCCACACATCATAACTAAGCTAAAGGAGCAAAGTATGAACCTTAACATTGATGTTGTCACTGGCTCACTTGACGGGATTACAGAGGTTATGGCAAGAGAAGGTTCTAGTTACAGGTTTGTTGTCAACCTACAGGAAAGGACATGCTCATGCAGAACATGGCAAGTTTCTGGGTTACCATGTAAGCATGCAATTGCCTTCATCACCTCTATACCTAGAGAGAAGATAGAAGATCATGTGGATAGCTACTACTCTGTAGAGAGCTTCAGAGCTGCCTATGATGGTAGAATCCCTGCTATACCAGACAAATCCATATGGCTCAAAGTAGAACATGGTTTCTTCATGCATCCTCCATTGTTGAAGCCAACAGCTGGTAGGAGAAGGCAAAAAAGAAACAAGGGAGCAGTAGAGGGTAGCAGCAAAGGAGCAAACATCAGTGTCCAATCTGTTAGCAATATGGACATCATTGGTACACTTGTAAGGATGGTGATCCAGCAGATATAACAACAATGCTTGCTGAAAGGTAACATAGAACCTAAACTTTGTAATTTTTTTACATGTTTACATTGTTGCTAACATATATGTCCATGCAGAGGTCCACCTAAAATGAAGAAAAAGAAGATAGCACCAGCTATTACTGAGACCAGCATTGTGCCTGCAACACCTGCACAAAGGATGGTCTTTCCTGTTCTATTTACTGTTGCGGATTTATCAAAGAAAAGGAAAGAACAAATCATCCTCATCAACTATTGCGAAGAAACAAAAGAGTACTTTCAATACTTCAACTGTTGAGGCTAGTTACCCTTCCGTGAGGTAAGCTAATTTCCTATAATTGTTTTTTCACCACTTTAATAGGTTAACTAACTGTTTTTACTCACGCCTTCTTTTTTAGAGGATCTGGAACATGATCGAATCATCTAGATCATTTGGCGATTACTTACCCTTCAGGTTCAAATGAGCAGCACACAGCTGACAAAGAGCGCAAGTCAGCAGCAGCACAAGAAAAAAAGAGCCATTCCGAAAAAAACTGACTCCAAACAAGGCTAGTCCAGCCATGTCAACCCGCAACAAGGTCCCTAGTTCCCCTTCTAGTCCGGCCATGGGAAATAGAAGCTAGAAAAAACTTGATCTTTGATAAGTTTGTATCTCTATGGCATACTACTTTTGTAGTACTTGAGGTCTGCATGACTAAACAATGTTTAAACTAGTAATAATGTTAATACGACCATCTTTTGTCTTTAAACTGTACTTTGTAATCAAGCTGACTATGTATGTGGATGATAATTTTAGACATCGTTTATATCTGAATGTATTCTGATTCTCGCAATTGTCGAATATTTATTTATTGGAATTGTCGCAATTGTTATATTTATTGGTTCTCGCAATTGTCTAATTTATATATATTGGTTGTTGTAATTGTCGAGTTTATATTTATTGGTTGTCGCAATTGTCGATTTTATATTTATTTGAATTTTTATGTGTAAACACACAAGTTGTCATAGTGGTATAGAGGAAAAGTGAAGTTTTTTATAACATGGCAGTGGCACAAGAGGAAACATGAAAAATTTGATGATACCACAGCTGAGGGTAAAAGAGTTATTTTCGTTGGCTGTTAGCTGCTGTTACAGGTAGAATGGACGAAAGTGGTACGTAGAGAAAGAAAATTTCAACGATTCTCTTTTTTCGATGATACACCGGTGATATCGATCTTTTATAGTGGCACGCGAAGGCTCCTCAAAAAAACGCCTTTCTTCTCCCGTTCCGCTCGTGCGCTCTCTTTCTCTCTCTCGGCGACGATTGGACGACCGCCGCCGCCGCCCCCAGGTCTTCGCTGGGCCCTTCGCCGGCGACGAGCACCCACCAGGTACGCCGGCCCCTTCTCGTCCCTAGCTGCTGTGCGAAACCGAGCACCCAGAGCCTAACTTCAGCTATTTGGCTATTTGTATTCGGATTCGGATCTAATTCTAATCGCTGACTCACGAGTGTACATGTTGCCTCGTTATTCAGCGCTAAGAATGATCGCTGGCTGATATATATTACAACGCAATATACCTAATGTAGTCACTTAATCTAAAGCGAGCTCTGTTTTTTCCCCTGCGTGCATCCAGTGCAAATGGTGCTCTTATATTTGGTTGCAGATTCTCGCATTTGTGCTGTGGCCATTTTGATTTGGACAATACGTCTACCACTTGGGTCTTGGCTTAGCATAAGATTCGTGAAAACTTTAACCAAAGCAAGTATTCTGTTTTGCAATTATTATCTTCCTCGAAATGACTAATGTGCACAATTAGATTTTCTTAAACTGAGTCAGAAAGCTACACCTTGATCGATCATTGGAGCAATTAAATTGCAAAAAGGTGAAGATTGTCCAAGAATATGGGTTTAAAGTTTCAGTGCCATAAATCCAAAAACAACACTGAATGCACAATGTATCTGAAACTCTCGACCAAAAACTGAATTCCTATTAGTAATGCATGAGCTTTTATAGGAAATAATTTGATGCAATATGACTAAAACAAAATCCCTGTGTTCCAAATGAATTCTTAAGTTTTGAAGTTCTTTTTTTTTGGGTATTTTGGCCAATTAGTACCTCGTGTGCAGCCTGAAAGGCTGGAACGCACCGTGAATGTGACTCCTGCTGGCTTTCTTGTTTTTCTCAGGCTCGGAAACGTCGCTGACATCCACCTGCACCACAGTAGTTCAGTAGAGTAGCCGTCGGAACCCACACGCCACCGATGGCAACTGCTCCTGCGACATCCTCCATGGCTACGAACTCTCCCTGCCTGCGGCTGCCTAGCATGCCCCTGAGGCGTGGACCTGCTGCCATCTCCTTCCCTTCTCGTCGTACGCTTCTGTTCTTGCCTCAATTCCTTAGCCATCAATGTCCTACTTGTCTTGATTTATTCGTCTTGTTTTTGCTTCATGCAGAATGGCCAGCCGCACTGACCTCATGCACTGGATTGTCGCGGCGCTCTGACGTGGTCGCCGCCGCGGGCCACCAGAAGTTGATGGGATCTTTGACCAGCAACGAGGGGCTCAGGTTTGGGGTGGTGAGTTGAGCATTACTTAATCGAGAAACACCTATTCCTTTGCTATATAATTGATGAAACATTGATGGGACCTTAGTGAACAAAAACCATAGGTTACTGATATGCTTTTCTTTGAAAAAACAGTCGCTTTCCTGCACGTCGACACCTTTTACCTCTGAATGCACAATACAATGACTGTATGGTTCCTTATTTAATTGTAGGTTGTGGCACGGTTCAACGAGGTCGTGACAAATTTGTTACTGCAGGGTGCCCTAGAAACTTTCGAGCGATACTCTGTTAAAGCAGAAAATATAACAGTATGCATCTTCTCTCTTCTGTTTGGTTGAAGTTGTTCAGAGTCACACTAATGTGTTAAGGAATTTCTTGCAAGTACTGTTGATCTTATTGCTTTATCACAAATTTGAAACACTGGCAGTCTTATACTTGTATACTTACGCTCCATCCTGATGGTTTTTTCGTTAAGGACCCATGAGCCACACAAAGAACTATCTTTGGATGGCTAATGTACTTGATAGGGTTGACTTTTTAACTTCTAAAGCCTTGTCCTTTGTTTATTTAATTTGCATAATAAATGTTCTGGAATAGTAGGAAATGTAGTTTCTCAGAGCCAATAAATATCTTTAGTTATTTACTACCAACATCAATGCTTATTGCTGCTGTGATAATTTGACTGATAGATAGCTAGTTCATTTCATGATTTGTCTCTGAATTATTCTTATGCAAATTTGATGAATGTCGTGTATCATTGTATATTTAATGTTAGATAATCACTAGTATTAGATACCTTGAAATACAGAACTATTAAACAAAATTGTCTTAAAATCTGTAGCATAATATGCACTTAAATAGGAAAGCTTCTACCTTATAAATTCTTTGTTACAAAAAAGCATACAGAAAACTGCAGCATGTAGAATTTTACTCTTCATCTGCAAACATGACTTGAAACAACGTCAGCGATGAACTACACAGTTGTATACATTTCTAAAATGTTTCAGAAACATTTAGAAAACGCAAATTTACTCGGATTCAAAATATTCTTTAGGTGGTTAGTGTTCCTGGAAGCTTCGAAGTTCCTATAGCGGCACAAAAGCTTGGGAAATCTGGAAAATTTGATGCAATTCTGTGCATTGGAGCTGTGGTGAGTTGATTACTTGATTAGTTTCGTATCATTTCCATATTACACATTTGGATTTTTATCACTTTCTACTTTTCATTTGATGTTCATTTAGCATGTTGAGTAAGTAGTATTGAGTATTGACCCTTTAAGGGTTATTTTCCTAATAATACTATAACAGTTTTATATATATATATATATATATATATATATATATATATATATATATATATATATATCCTCTCACACATCCCCATGAATTGTGCACATGAGGAATTACAAAGAAGATTAGATCTGTGCTTTTGTAAACTACCCTCTGAACATTTTTTGGAGCTGATCCTTCTTTAATTTTACATTGAGCTATGAAATGTTACATCCACCTGCCAATTAGAACTGAGAAAACAAACAAGGAACTCTAGAAGCCATTTACTGTTTCAATATGTACTTGTGAAACTATCTTTGAAAGTGCATGGCTTCTAGGGACATCCGGTTGTTAACATGTCTTACCCATGTGAAGACTGTAACCTCTGTGAATGGTTGTATCAATTAGCATAGGTCTAAACAATATTGTCTACCTAATTGTATTATTATTTGGCCCTTTTATTCACACTTATCATGATGCTTGTGTGATAATATCAAATTGAACCTATACTTTGCAATCTCATTGATAGTATTTAGCAGTAGCTGGTTCGTTTTATTTTGGAAGTGTTCCTAAAAAATCGTTTTCAGATTAGAGGTGACACAACCCACTATGATGCTGTTGCAAACTCAGCTGCATCAGGTGTACTCAATGCTGGATTATCTGCTGGTATGTTGTTTTCAGTTCTTCCCTTCATGTGTCATGCTGTAGAGAGCTTCCTGTCTCGTCTGGGGTAGTTCTAAGTATATTCCTTTTCTTCTAGCTTTTGAGTGTTAATAAAAAGGCTGACTAGCCAGTTGAAATATTGAGCTGTTAAACATATTCCATCAGCTAGTGAAACTTTTTTATATGTTTATATTAATTGTTGTTTCTCAGCGAATAAGCATATATAAGTACAATAACAACAACAAAGAGTTCCAATCAAGTTGGCGTAGGCTAAAATTTTGTATATCAAGTGACTCAAGGCAAGTGCAAGAGTTAATGTGAGCAACTAGTATAGGAACTGGAAGGCTTTGGTTATATGGTTATATGAGATAGGTGTATAGTTGGTGCTATAAAAGTACTTCGCAAGATTCACTGAAACCTTGCAGTGTGCTTGGCTTGTTTTTTCTTTATGGTGGTTAATTCAGTTAATAATCAGACATTCGGATTATTTTGGCTTTAATTGGTGATGCAGGTGTTCCTTGTGTATTTGGTGTTTTAACCTGTGAAGACATGGACCAGGTAATTCGTGATTTGGTTATGTACATGTATACTCCCTCCTTTTTTTTTAAGTGTCGTATTTTGGTTTGCTACACAGACCAAGGAGGAGATTAAACCTTCTCGTTTATGCGCTGGATTCCTTTTTTTTCTTCTTCGTACTCAGCGCATCCGCAGCCCTCCCTGCATGGCTCCATGCAAACCACCCACGGGAACGAAGGAACCACTTATCCGCAGCCCTCCCTGCATGCAGACTTAAGTGCGCCAGGAAGGAAACGAGGCGTTAATTAACTCCGACTCCACGGACAAGACGGGCAGACCAAAATACGACACTTATTTGCGACTTTCTCCTAAAACCAAATACGACACTTAAAAGAAAACGGAGGGAGTACATCTTATCAATTATTACATGCCACCAGATCATGTTTGGTAACCTAAATCTGGGCAAGTTCTCGATTGTTACTGGATTTCTGGACCACATCCCATATGTGTAGAAACTGATCAGTTCATGAGAGCCCTGTTCAAAGTTTTGTTTTGAAAAATTGGTTGCTGTTTGAGCTCTGTTATGTTCATTTTATGTCTTTTTGAATATTTTCTAGTTTTAAAATTTCTGACCAGTAGAAACCTGTAAACAGCCAAGAGTCAAGTTTTTGTTGCTGACCAAAATGCTTTGATTCAAGTTCCCATGCCATATGCTAACTTTTTTTTAGGAGTGCACCCTATTTGTGCATGCTACAGGCACTATTCATTTCCTTGACCTGTAAAGTAGTGACATCTTTATTCCACATTGGCCACATTAGCAAAGCAAAGGTTTCACTCAGTGTTCCCTTCTGATGAGAAAGTTTCATGTCAATAGTGTGACCCTTTTTTGTTGATTATCTGACTACTTTTCAAAACATGTGCACTGTTTTGCTCCTTATCAAAATCCTACTGAGAATGCTAAATCAAATGCTGCAGGCGCTAAACCGTGCTGGTGGCAAGGCTGGAAACAAGGGTGCTGAAACTGCTCTTACTGCCGTAAGTAAACCTTCCGTCGGCAATCTTAATTTCAAATAAACGTTGAAGTATTGTCATGTGATAAGCTCAAGTTCCCTGCAGATTGAGATGGCCTCTCTGTTCCGGCATCACCTAGGCTGACACTTTGCTATGTTTTGATTTATATACACGAGGCAACAGCATTTCTTCCTATCAAGAGTTTTGGCTAATAGAGCTTTTCCGCCGCAGCTAGTATAATTATTCCTAAATCTGTTGGTCCGGTGCTGATTGGTTGCTTTGCTTTCTTTCTATATGAAATTTGAAAAGCTCACGAGACATGTTTGTAAACCTGACACCATGAATAATTGTCACCATGAACGAAATATGGTCATGAATAAAGTTGCACTAGTGTTTGTTACAGATGATTATCATGAGTTTCGGGGTGAGTTTTTTCTTTTCTTTCTTTCTTTCTTTTTTGGGTGAGGTCACCCGTGAGAACTGAAAAGAAACATAGTCGCTTCACCCACTCAAGTACTCAACTCTCCTCGGTTCAAAAAAAAAAATACTCAACTCTCCAGATGCGCTCGTGAAGCCGTCATGCATCCCAGAGGGCAATTCAAATGACGTTTCGGAAACGTGAACATGCACGCTGCGACAGACTGGGCCTACAATAGCGATCCAGCGAAGCACACCCAATACAGCTCGAGAACTCCAACGCTTAAATAAATCCTATTAATAATACTAGGGTTACCCCAAGAAAAAATTGCATCGAAGCCGCAAAGCGCAAAACCTTCCGATCATATACTGACTGTAAAATCAAAGCACTGTAAAATTATTAGCCACAAATGCCAAATCTTTCTGCATACCATGTACAGGCATCGATGACACGGCTTCAAATAGCCGTACAACTAACGCAATGCCTATTGGCCACTCCTACTAATGCCTAGCAAAGATCTAGTACTAGTACTATCCATCAAGCTAAAACTAGGACATAGCCGACTGTAATATGGCCATACCGAAAAATTGCTGTCACAAACTCAAATGATAGAAATAGCATTGGGTAACTGTAATAATGCAGGTGAGAACCTAGCCGACTAAAATGATAGAAACAACAATGGGGAACTGTATTACTGTAATACTGAAGGTGAGAGGGTCCGCCATCCTCAGATATATACAAGCACAATTGACAATCCTCATCACCAGACAGAAATGACGGTCTGCACGCCCTAAATTGTTTTCCAAAGCACGTTACAGATCTCAACCGGTGGCGTCGTCTTCTCAAACTCAAACTTCTGTATCTTCTTCTCATTCTTGTCGATAGTATCTGATTAAAAGCTAAGGACTTTCGCAATGCCATGACTTTTTGTTAATGTTCGCTGTTAGAGAAAGCTGATATGAAGTGCAAAAACTAAGCAGCATAACCTTTTAGAGTTAACGTGGGTCATATTCTTTTCTCTGAATAGGGAAAACAGCAATAAACTGAGAGGATACAGCTTGAGATCTTATCCTGGTCTTCCAAATTTGGGAAGATATTTGTAACTGACACACACATGGAAAGTTTATATCTGCATAAGAATGCAGTCAGTGAGCTATTTTAACTCAGAAACAGGGTAGGCAATAGAGATAATACTGTTATAGCTCGATTCATGTTGAACTAAGAGGCACAATTCAAAATTCGAACAAGTACTATTCAAAATAATTTTTAGTGTTTTCCACAATGTTGCTGTAATATTCAAAAGTGGAGGAAAGATAATACAGTCACACTGTACAACAGCGGCACCTAAAGATGAGGCAAGACCACAGGAGGCAGTGACAACCAGCAGTAGTGTTGTCCAAGTTCAATGAGCAAAAGGAGGACATTTGTCTATTTTGAGTTAAATCTTATGTTATGATTTTTTTCTCTACTATCGCCATTGCAACAGCACCATAGCACTAATATAGCTTAGCTTTCATGGGATACTGTATCCATACAATTCGAACATCTAGCCAGTTTTCAAACTGAGTACAGTTACAGAAGCTGAATGTACTGGGAATTCGTCAGGAACATAAAGAATGATTCTCAACTTACGTGGCCTTCCGCATGTCTTTATCTTTCTTCTTAATAGCATCCTTCCTCTCTTCTATAGAAGCCCTTTGATGGTCTAGGTTTTCAAGGTCATCATGTGTAGCTGTGTTGACATCATAGAGCATATAACTCCAAATATTTGTTCTAATATGCAACTTTTCAGACAATACCAATGCTGGAGCAAGAACTTATCTCAATTCTTCACGAAGTTGTTTCTCTTCCTGAAGATTTTCTTCTATCCTATTTTGCAGTACACTCAGTTCATCAGCAGCAATCGTTTCAGCATTTGCTTTGTCTGTCTTTTCCTTGCAGGAGCATAATTTTTGCTGATAATCTGATGTCAAATGCAAAATCATGAAATTAAGATGGCCAAAATGTTCCATTTCTGAAGTTTATCGTTGGACAGTAGGTTTCAGGTGCTATCAAACAGTTTGTTGTTAATGTTATCATTATTAGTTCTGCAATATTAAGCATTGATTCATGCACTCGTTCTAAGAAACATGTGCCACTATTACTGCAAACAAGGGTAATACATTACCGTTAAATGAATTCAGAGAAGAATGAATGTTTTCAAAGCCAGCAAACATCCAGGTTTTTGGATGTCACACCCTAAAATTTTTGGATTATGGGATGTGAATAGGAAACATAAACAATGCAATGATTTTCATAACTTTATAAAATTTTGCCAACTTTTAGTCAAAAGGCGTGACTAAGAAAATCATGGCATTGTTTCTGTTTTCTATTCACATCCAAAAATCAATAAATTTTGGGGTGTGACACTGGAGAGGGATACTACTACAGCGGTGTCATATGGTTGTATATCCTTTTTTTAAGGTTTTATAGACAAGCATTCCTCTATACCCTTTGTCTATTTGTAAGCTCCACGAGCGATTGATCACTAGGACAGGTACTGAGGTACATCTAGAGCTAGATCTCTAGTAAGCTATCAATTTATCGAATACCCAGAAGAAGGCAGCTGGCTGCTTGAAGGGGGAATACCATATTGGTACCAATGGTGGAAGAAATTTTCGATTAATGCTGATAGACTAATGTTCCTCTCCACAGAGTCTATTTCTAAGCTTCCCAAGAGATTGATTATTGGGAAAGGTACATCTAGATAACGATCTTTGGTTTATTACATTGACAAGTGCAGAAACTGGAAAGGGTTGTAGTTTCTAAGTTGTTTCTCAAAGTTCAATTCATGTGTTGTATACTATACCAATATAAGTGCTTGGCTGCTTGCCATGAAAAGGCACCGATACAAACTAGATGATTTAGGCCGGTACTCCTAAAGAAATTGATGATATAACATGTTCCCCTTTGCAGAGAAAATGTTCAATTCATGCTGAGCTCAACCAAAATCGACATTGCACCAAAATTAGCAGTGGAGTCAGCAACGTTTCTCTAAGATCATCATCACCCAATTCATCTACTGGATCAGACACGCGTATCGACCTCACGAGAAGCGAAGAAGGGCACGGGACAACGGGAAACAAGTGAGAGCAGAGCAGGAGAGGAGCAGACCTTTCAGCTGGAGCTCGAGATGGTCGGACTCGGAGCGGCAGGCGGTGCGCAGCAACCGCGCGGCCGCGGTCACCTGCGCATTGGCGTCCGCGTCGTCACTGCAGCGGAGCACTCCCATGAGATCGTCGGCGAAGGAAAGGACGTTGTCCACCTCCAGCCGACAGTCCATATCCGCCGCCATCGGAATGCCCGCCACCGCCCGCCGGAACCCTAGCACCCACTTGGCCACTTGTGGCGACGAGGAGAGTGGAGAGGCATCCGTCCGTTTGTCTAGGACTGGCGGCGGCCGGTGACGTTGGACAATCAGATTTTTCTTTTTTTTTTATTATTTTTGAGCAAAACGTTAGAGACACAATTTTTTTTTTTTGAGGAAAGCCGTTGGAGAGACAGTCACACAGATGAAAGGAGACGCGGCAGTGTAGCCCGTAACTGGTCTATGGGCTTGCTCTCAACGAGTTCAAAGTTGGCCCAAAGAAATGGTCGACATTATTATTTTTTGGATCTTTTGTTAGACGGAAGACCTTTTTTCTGTTGTTTTTCCGGCCCGTGTCGAGTGTTTTTTCTGTTAAAAAAACTAGTGTATATGTATATGTAGGCACTCATATACACATGCCGACCCATGCGCATTGATCTTGTTAACATTTTACACACATCATAGCCCGTATCATCCCAAACTAGAAGCAAACTCAATGCCTTTCGGCCTTCTCTATAGTCAAACAATGACAAAATTACATATTTAACAACAATGACGACAACAACAACAACAAAATCAGACATCTAAAATAGAGGAGAGGTGAATAAAAAACATCAGTGATTATTTGTTGTGTCATATTTCAAAATGGTTATTTTTTTTACATTTTTTCTACGGTCAGTATCTAATCTCCTGATACGCCTTAGGAGAGGTTTCCGCTATTATTAGCTCAATCTATTTTGGCCGCTGCCTTAGGAGAGGTAGAAGCATCGCTTGGACCGTTGGATGGTCTTTGGAAGGCTGAAAATGTTCGACTGCAAAAGTTGCAATAACCATAGTAGATCGACTGTTTAAAAAAAAACAATAGTAGATCGACGAGCAGGGGGTCGACGAGCACTAGTAGACGACCTGTGACGAACTGGTCCCTCGTTACCGGCTTTGGCCAATTTTGGCGGCCGGTGGCCGCAGCCATCCAGCCTCAGGGAATTTTATTTTATTTTTAACATTTTTTTAAACTATTTTTAAATTTGATATTGTTTTTTTTTCAAAACTAACACTTTTGACTGCGCCTATTTGAATGGCGCGGTGAAATCATATTGCCGCGCTATACATGGAGGCACGGTAGGAGCGATGACGTGACTGCCGCGCCGTGGATCCGCGCCATGTCATCAAAGTTCGCGTCGCTGTGCCCGCCGATAAAGAAAGTGCCCCGCCCTGTCACGTCCTACCGGGCACCATAGAGATAAGCCACCAGTCCAACCTGCCGGCGGCAGCATTGTCGCGCCATTCTCCATGGCGCGTCAGTGCCGCGCCTAGATTCGCGGCGCGACAGCCACGTCAGCGTTCAGCGGCTCTAGTCGCTGCTACGTCATCGCTCCTACCGCGCCCCATACATGAGCGCGACAACGTGATTTCGCCGCGCCATGCGAATAGGCGCGGCCAAAAGTGTTAGTTTTGAAAAAAAAAACATTTCAAAATAGTTTTAAAAAGTGTTAAAAAAAAAAAAATCGCCTCAGGCGTCTCCTGGTCTTGGCAGGCCGAAGGTGGCTGCGCTAGCGTGACAGCCGGCTGTGGCAGACGGTCGCCCTGTTCGCTTGTGTCGGGTTTATAAAACTAGGATCCTCGATGTGCCTGTTTTTCAGCAAAGGCTCGGCCCAGCAGACGGCATTACAACAAACACGTGACTCCTGGGTTGGCCTAGACACCTAACGATAGGCCGAAAGAGCGATCTAGTCTCCGACCGGAAGGCCTGGCCAAGGAGGGGACGACGCTCGCTTCCGACTCCGACCCACTTTTCCGACCGAGAATATGCCGAACCTCTGTTTACAGCTTCCGACTTCGACCGACACGGTCGGAGCCGACTGGGAACGACCGACCGGGGACGCCCGCTCGGTGAGGACCCAAGAATCAGGCGGAGCAGATAAGGCAAGGCGCTCAAGTCAACCGCAATATCGAGGACCGTACCCTGCACACCTGCAGGACAGTACCACCAGGTCATACCAGAAGGGTGTTTTGCAACCTTCCAGGCACGTCAGAACCCAAACAATGTTGTGGACGTCGACATTTGACTTATAGTATTATGGGCGCCGTCACTTGCCATACCAGGTGAACACGGTAAAGCCTCCCACACGCGTCTGACATAACTGGTCTATGGGCTTGCTCTCAACGAGTTCAAAGTTGGCCCAAAGAAATGGTCGACATTTTTTTGGAACTTTTGTTAGACGGAAGACCTTTTTTCTGTTGTTTTTTCCGGCCCGTGTCGAGAGTTTTTTCTATTAAAAAAACTAGTGTATATGTATATGTAGGCACTCATATACACATGCCGACCCATGCGCATTGATCTTGTTAACATTTTACACACATCATAACCCGTATCATCCCAAACTAGAAGCAAACTCAATGCCTTTCGGCCTTCTCTCTATAGTGAAACAATGACAAATGTACCTATTTAACAACGACGACGACAACAACAACAAAATCAGACATCTAAAATATAGGAGAGGTGAATAAAAAACATCAGTGATTATTTGTTGTGTCATATTTCAAAATGATTATTTTTTTACGTTTTTTCTACGGTCAGTATCTAATCTCCAGATACACCTTAGGAGAGGTTTCCGCTATTATTAGCTCAATCTATTTTGGCCGCTGCCTTAGGAGAGGTAGAAGCATCGCTTGGTTCGCTTGGACCGTTGGATGGTCTTTGGAAGGCTGAAAATGTTCGACTGCATAAGTTGCAGTAACAATAGTAGATCGACGAGCAGGGGGTCGACGAGCACTAGTAGACGACCTGTGACGAACTGGTCCCTCGTGACCGGCTCTGGCCAATTTTGGCGGCCGGTGGCCGCAGCCATCCAGCCTCAGGCGTCTCCTGGTCCTGGCCGGCCGATGGTGGCTGCGCGAGCGTGACGGCCGGCTGTGGCAGACGGTGTCTGTCGTCACTAGTAGGGGTGAAAATGATACGGATATTTTTTTTTGACCGTATTCGAGACCGAATTCGTTTAGAGAGGTTTAGATCTGTTCATATCCGAGTTCGAATATTCAACATCCGATACCGTATCGGTATCCGAATACTCAAATCGCATATTTATAATATTGATATCCAATAGTGTCCTATCCAGCATGGTTCACACTATCCGTATTCGAATCTGACTCCGGACAGAAATATGAAAACAAATATAATATCAGTGACATCCGTCCGTATTCGATCCGTTTTCATCCCTCGTCCCCAGCAACGATTTGGGCGTGTTTGATACAATAGTATTAGGATTTAAAATTGCCAACCGATGATGCGGTCCATGTCGCCTCAAAGCCTTTTTTTCTTCTTTTGCTTTTTTCACTCCTGCAGCATGTAGCTTGAGCGGACAGGACGCACCACCAGTCCAAAACCGTACCTGTACTACGTACAGTACTCATGGTACAGCGACCAACATCGACGCGATCGAGCACGCAACCTCGGCCCACCGAAGAAACCGCACCGGAAAACGCCGCCGACGCCGCGCGCGCGCCCAGCAGCCGCCCAGTGCAGTGCTGGTGCCCGCATCGGAGCAGTACTTCATCCGGCGCATTTTGGATGTCGAGACAGCGATAACCTAAATATATAAATATAAAGTATTCTCTAAGAGTTATTTACAGAAAAAATTATCTTTTAGAATTTATAGATATTAAATTATTTTATCGTAGCGTAAAAAAAAAATAGATCTTTGGTTGGCGGTTGATGGAGACAGTCTGAGCGCGCGTCCGGCCGTCGTCTGATCGTGCGGTGCACCCTCTCTCGAATCTGCTTTTGCGCGGCGGCAAAGCAAAGTGGCGCACCGCCGTACGCAAGGGCTGACAGCGCCAAGGGCCGAGGCCATGCCCGTCGCGTGAACAGCGACTTGCCCCGGTTAATGTGGTCGTAGCCCTAGCCCCTCGATAAGTTTCATGTTGGTGTCTTGACAAACGCACCCGTCCATAAGTCCATGTTGGCTACAGTTTCGGCAGTTGAGAAATTGGAGCTACAACAGCAAGCTGTTCCAAACACTCCAACAGTCATCAAGGCTGGACCATCCATGATCTAGGAGCAGCTACAGTGTGCTAAGTTACCTATCAAGAGTAGTGCGTAGTATATACTGTTAGAAGAAGATGCGTTAGCTTCCTGGTACAGTGCACGATAAATTTGAGCTAAAGCTTCACCAAAAGAGATCTAAGATTTAAGAACAATGAGGATGCACGTACCTAAGGCCAAGTTTTGAATTCAAGCAGAAAAAAAAAGTTAGTGTTGGTTTGGTAGAGCTCCAGCCAAAACAGTTTCGGCTATAGCTTCTTTGCTAAAACAACTTTTTATGTCTCCCGCTTCACTAGTCACTAGTTCGAAAAACATTTGGTAAATTAGAATTCTCCTAAGGCTCCTTTGCATTGCAGGAATTTTGGAGAAAAAAGCGGATTCTAGTCTCTATAGGAAAAACTACTGTTCATGCCTTTGGGATGGGGGAATCGTGCATAGGAAAAATGGAGGAAAGTTTTCTATGGTGCTGATTCCAGAGGAAAACTACAGGAACAAAACATCCGGTCCGACCTCTTTGTATTTCTTCCTGTCGCATAGGATCGAGCTCTAATCCTCCAGTGGCGCAAATCTCGGCAGCGCGTCGCGGTTGTCGTTGTAGCGTCGCTTCCCTCCGCCTCCTCAGGCGCGGCGCCGGAATGCGGCCTCAGCATCTCCTCCGGTGGCGGCGGCAAACTGCGAGAGCGCTCGAGTCCACTCTCGCCCGCACCACGCGGTGCGCAACCGCTCCGGCAGTCCGGCTTCTCATCCACCGCGCCTGGGAGGACCCCGCCCGGTGGCGGGCTGGCAGCAAGATGAGTATCGGGCCACCGGCAAGCGGCGGAGCCAGCGTATCGCGACAGGGTATTCCATGTAAAAAAATTTACAATACAAATATACAAGTGCTAGCTTTCTCCCACAATATAAATATGCTAGTGCTGGCACCTTCTTCATCTACTCTTACATTATA